AAGCTCTGAAAAAGCCAAGCCAGGGAAATCTGCAGGACTGCCTGGTCCCCTTTTATGAAATGGGGTAGGATCAGTACAAACTGCATCATCCCCTGTGGGTTGTAACAGTAGGACATGGTTACACACCTATAAATGGACTAGATAAGAGAATTAAGATTAGGTCATTGATATAGCTAAAACATCAAATTCACTCACCCACTTTTGTAGATTTCCTTTTGCAGAGTAAAGGACCCTCACTCCAAGCCAGTCCATGCATCATAATCACTTTCACCTGAAAAATATTTCAAAATTAATTTCAGATTTAAAGCCATTCTTTCTTTACTTTTCAAATTAGCATTCAGTAGTTTACAAATTCAGATGTAAAAACTTTCTTTAAGGAATTTCCCTTTCCTACATATTCTAGTAGCAGTAGTAAAGATCTAATTTAGCAATATAAATATATATGGCATCAACTTGCCAAGTTTCAGTAAATGTCATTTGAGAAACTATCCACAACTGCACTTCAATGGCAATTTACATTTATCTTTAGCCAATGCTATATTGTTTAAGTTACTATTTTTTTATTTATGCAAATCTATTCAGATTAACCTCACCTGATTCTGTTTATAACTGACAGGGACTTATTTCCAAACCATTCTGGATTATTTTAATATAAACATTATTTTTTACTAAAGATTAATATTAAAAAACCTTTCCTGCCATTAGTTTTTATGATTACCATCTTTGATAAAGCAATTTAACAAACATTTAATGGATGTTATTTAACAGTTTCAACTTACAGAAGAGATTCTGAATAGCAAGTGCCAATAGGCACTGTGGCTTATGGCAAAAGATTCTGTAGCAATAGAACCCCCCCCCCCCCCCCCCCTTCCTCCCAACTGTTCAGTGTCAAAAGGGAGGGGGGTGTCCATTTACTGCACCACTTACATTTTAGTGTGGGCTTCATCCACTATTCTGATGTTAGCTGGAACATTTGTGTCAGCTGCTGGTTTGAAATGGAGGCATACCATGTGCCAATTCAGGAAGCTTTCCACATTCCTCACTGCATGTCAGCTCAGGACCTCACTACCATGTTGGGAGGCAGTTGAAGACTAACCAATCAACATCCCAGGCTGGAGAGCAGTGCCAGCTCTGGGAGAATTTACCACCTGCAAAAAATTTAATACTCTTAACAATCTGCACCATTTATCTCATCTTTACCTAGCCCCCAAACCTTACATTTGTCAGCATTAAACTGCATCTGGTAGTCTTAACCATTTCAAAACTATATAGGGCATCGGTATTTTTTATTTCCCAATTCTGCAACTATTGCAGTCTAAACCATAATCTTGCGAATAACCGAGGTCCAAGGAGAGCTATTAGGCACTACTTACAACACTTCTCCCAACTTAACCCCATTTATACTAATTTCCTTTGGTATAGCCATGACCTAATCAACTTCAGTCAGCATTCCCAATGATCCGAGCCCCTATCAATTTTGTGCCACTATCAAAATCTCTGCTGAAGTCAAGGTACACAAAATCACAAACCTTATCACTATTTCCTCAACTATGCAACCTAATCCATGAACATTTAGTAATAAAACTATGCGATTCATGTATCTACTCATGTTTCTCAAAAAGAGTAGAGAAATGGCACTTGCAATGTTAGATTTTAGTAACTTTCCTCACAATAGACTAAGCTAATTGGTCACAAACTTAAGCGTTAAAGTTAACTCAAACTTTTCCTTTAAAACTTGCTATATTAGGAACTTTCCACGACCGGCCTTTACCCGACATAATTAAATAGGGTAAAAACGGTATATTAAATGCAGTAAAACTACGGTAAATTCAATATGATAAACTTGCATTCTTTAAGCATGGGCTGCATAGTAAGTGAACTAAACTAAATGTTAAGCACCCTGGCAAACCACTTCGTTCTATTCAATTTCTTTATTTAATCACTTTGTCCGGCTAGAATTTTTAGATTAGATTAAAGGAACACCCTCCCTGGTAACGGCTGAACTAGTTAACCAAATACAAATATTTAGGTAAAATACTTTCATAAAACCCGTCTACTTCCCCCACCAGTAGACTTGTTCAGCTAAAGGCATAATGTAATGTTCCACTTTAGTAAATAAAGACTTAAAAAAACACACTACCCCATCTGTGTAGTTACCGGTTACCTGACATTCTACGCTTAAAATAACCCATCTATTCCCCATAATTGTTCGATATAACTTACCTCTCACCCGCTGGTCGAGTACACAGCAGTATATATCCTCCTCCATCACTCACCGCGTGGATACTATTTCACTCTGGCCGCAAATTGCCTCAAATCACCTACGTTGTCCATAAACATATATAGAAGAGCAACTGACCGTAACACCCGTATAGCGATCATCACATAACGTGGGAACATTAGTAGTACTGCTGTCAAAACATAGATGGCGCCAGGACAAACGGTAATTCCTATGGACTCGCCTAGTTATGCGTAGGGAATTGAGCTTCAGCTGTTTGGTCCCGCCCCTCAGCTGTATTCACCTAGTTGTACTCACCTAATTTGTGCTTGCAGGGGTTGAGCTTTGGTTCTTTGGTCCCGACTCTCAACCGTCAATCAACAGGTGTACAGGTTCCTGAGCCTATTGGGCTCTATCACATCTACATTTGAAATTGTGTATGGAGTCAGCCTCCACCACATCACTGCTTAATACATTCCATTTGTTAACTACTCTGACACTGAAAAAATTCTTTCTAATATCTCTGTGGCTCATTTGGGTACTAAGTTCCCCTTGTTCGTGTTCCACCCGTGTTAAAGAGCTGTCTTTGTAACTATCAAAATGCATATATCTTTGCTTTCACTTCAGTTATATTTATGACAAGGGATTTAAAATTTGCCTATATTTCTGCTTCTCTGATGACATTAAAAACTTTCGTTTATTACAGTATCTACATAAAATTAACATTTATCTTCATTAGGTTGTAGTTCTCATCAATAGGGAGAGCGTCGGTAAAAAAAAAAAATTGTTTAAATATAAATATCTTTCCTCTCTCAATAATATGCCCGAAACGCTATGCGTACTAGTGGCTTTAGGTATTGTATGTACTAGCTCTATCTATAAATCCAATATTATGTTTGTAAATCGACTATTTATGTACTTTCCTGAATAAAATGAACTTTACTTTACTAATATCTAATCTCTGTGACTAAAACGTAAGAACGACTTTATCTATGCCTTTTTGATAACATATACAATTATAAGCTTTATTAGTGAATCTCTATTAATTAAACAATATATCAGAGAGTGTGTAAGGTTCGGTGTTCCATGTGCGAAGAGACATGGGAGATTTTACATCAGTACAGTAAATGTTTTAAGTAGCGAACGCATACTAACGAATAACGATTAGTATAGACCAACACTATTGTTCTATGAAGTCGATTTAACTTCCAGACATGTATTTTTCAATAAGTCTTAAATATTTTCTGGCTAGTTATGTTAGATATTATTAGAAATACGTATTCTACTTGTTAATATAATAAACTAAATTTGCGATCATTTAAGGAGAGAAGTGCGACGACTGGATCACTGTGTACAGAAGGTTGATATGCCAACAAACACTTTCCAGACAACAATATATCTTGGATAAGTCGCTCCACAACATTGACACCTGGACCGTTGACTTCCTATGAGGCCACATATTTACTTATTTCATAATGGAAGTATATTATTTTATAGTAAATATATGTTTTCTCGTGTTCTGCATTAAGCACCAACATTATAGTGAATAAATATACCATATTTCTTCATTATTTAAGTAATGCTAGGAGGCTTTGAGTAGCTTTGGGTCATTAGGTGAACAGAATCTCCAATAGATGGGGCGAGAGTCGCGCTATCTCTCGCCCGAGCGAGAGTCGAAACTTATTTTAGAATTGATATATCTTTGTCCTCCAACAAGATATATTTCCTTTGGTGCACTCACAATAACGAGCATATCTCTGTCTTTCTGAAGGCATATAATATTTTAGGCTTTATAAGCGTATCTTTGTTAATTACACACTATATTGGCAAGTGCGTAGGCTTCTGCATTCCATGACCGACAAGCTACTGAATGCCACTATAAAAACGTATGTATCTTCACTTGAGCTTTATATATGTCTATGTTAAAGTATTTAAAATGAAGCTTATATTTCTATCTTTCTTGAGACATATAAAACATATGTGTTTATTAATGAATTTACGTGAAATAAGCATTGTTCTGAGAGAGAGTTGCTCTGTCGATCAGTCTGTGCGGGGTCGGAGCTCGGCGATTATTAAAACACATGTATCTTCATTAGAACTTTATATATATCTATGGTAAAGTATTTAAAATGAAGCTTATATTTCTATCTTTCTCAACACATATAAAAACATTTGCGTTTATTAACGAATTTACGTGAAATAAGCATTGTTCTGAGAGAGAGTTACTCCGTTGCTCGATCTGTGCGGGATCGGAGCTCGCCGATTAGAAAAATACACGTATCTTCGCTTTAAATACAAATATGCCCATGGTAAGGCATTTAAAATGAAGATTATGTTTCTATCTTTCTTGAGACGTATAAAAATCTTACGTTTATTAACGATTCTGCGTGAAATAAGCATTGTTCTGAGATGAATATTGCGGATTTCCGGCTCTACGACCGATGAAAAATGCAACTTTTATACAACTACAAATATCTTTAGTTTTACTTTAAATTTTGTCCTGAAAGAGTTTTCATATATAGATCCAGTTTCTGCCGTTCTTCTGACATAAAAATACCTTTGGTTTAATAAGTTATTAAGATGTTTTCAACAATATTACTAGGGCGTTCACAGATTCTAACATGGGCGACCCTTTTGGAAACGCAACACATGGGTTGACCGGTTGATATATGGGTCAGATTCCATTAAGGTTCGGAACACAACCCCACAACAAGCGAAACTAACTCCTGAGTGCCTATTTGCTGCTAGGTGAACAGGTACATTAGGTGAAAGGAAATGTGCCCAACCATTTCTTTCCTGCCCAGGATTCGAGCCCGGAATTCTTGACTGTGCGTTGAGAACGAACCCGACTGTACTACCGGAACCCTAATGCTCGACTCCCAGTTCATTCTTGTGCGGATGCCTGAGCTCTGCTCCTACGGGTCATCGGTTAGCGTTTTGATTTTGCTGCCCATAGGGCTAGATCATTCCATGAGGAATTTTCATTCAACTACCTGTGGCTGGCAGGCTCCAGACGCTCCTGTCTTCCCTCTGGACATGGAGGGCTCCTGGCTTTTGCTCTGCCGGAGTTGTTACCCCTGTGTGTGGTGTGGGTGGTCGGTGGCTGCCCTGCCAGGGGTATTTGGGTGTCACCTGGTAGTTAGTGCCACTAAGCAGTCTTGTTTTGCTGCCTGGTTACATTTTTGTTGTCAGAATAGCTTCCTATTTGGTTTTCATCCCAAGAATCTGGTTTGGCAGCCTAGATGCATGGCAGGGTGCATTCATCTAGGTACGTTGCTGCCCAAAAATCAACAACAGGGGTCTCAGTAGTACAGTCAGGTCCATTCTCAATGCACAATAAAAAATTCCGGGATCAAACCCCGGGTGGGCCAGAAATGATTGGGCACGTGTTTCACCTAATGTTCTGTTCACCTAGCAATAAGTAAGTAATCAATCAGGAGTTGGTCAGCTTGGTGTGGGGTTGCATCCTGGGTGGGGTCAGTAATTCGGCCTTGGGGGTGGGGTGAGGGGATTTCAATAAAGGTCTAATTTGTATGACTACACTCTAGCTTCCTGTCCCCTGACACAATGAATTATTATTATTATAAGAACATGTAATGCTCTACAGCCAGTTATACACTCTCACAACCCAATGTATCTTCTTGTGTGTGTAATACATACATGCATGTGTACCTAAGTGTAATTACCTAAGTGTAGTTACAGGATGAGAGCTACGCTCGTGGTGTCCCGTCTTCCCAGCACTCTGTCATATAACGCTTTGAAACTACTGACGGTCTTGGCCTCCACCACCTTCTCGCCTAACTTGTTCCAACCGTCTACCACTGTTTGAGAGAGAGAATTTTGTGTGTGTGTGTGTGTGTGTGTGTGTGTGTGTGTGTGTGTGTGTGTGTGTGTGTGTGTGTGTGTGTGTGTGTGTGTGTGTGTGTGTGTAATTACCTAAGTGTAATTACCTAAGTGTAGTTACAGGATGAGAGCTACGCTCGTGGTGTCCCGTCTTCCCAGCACTCTTTGTCATATAACGCTTTGAAACTACTGACGGTCTTGGCCTCCACCACCTTCTCACTTAACTTGTTCCAACCGTCTACCACTCTATTTGCGAAGGTGAATTTTCTTATATTTCTTCGGCATCTGTGTTTAGCTAGTTTAAATCTATGACCTCTTGTTCTTGAAGTTCCAGGTCTCAGGAAGTCTTCCCTGTCGATTTTATCAATTCCTGTTACTATTTTGTACGTAGTGTGTGTGTGTGTGTGTGTGTGTGTGTGTGTGTGTGTGTGTGTGTGTGTGTGTGTGTGTGTATCAAGCATCAAGACCTAAAGCAAGTCCTAATCTAATGCATGAAAATTTAAATATTGCAATAGATAATATTGAACATTGTAAACAAAATTATATATTTTTTTTTTGTCAATTCCTACAGATTTTGGTTAAGAAATGGGTTTGGATGGGCGGAGCCGTCACAAAGAGCTCAACACCCTGACTTGCCTGGTCATGGGGCTCACAGGATGGAGGACCACTGTCGAACTGCACAATGATGCATTTGTCTCAGGGTTGATTACTGAAGTTGATGTGTGAGTGCTCCTCTTGATTAGTGTTTGAAAATAATAATTAATTATATTGCTGTATTATAGTCACTTAATTTTGTTACTCGTGAATAAAGTGAGTAATTACTCGTGCCAATTTTTTTTTTGTTATTAAGAAGTAATCTTAATATTACGTTCTGTCAAAAATTGCTATGGTACAGGAAATCATATTCTCTGTTGGGTGAGAGAAAATTGTGATTGTAAATTAGCCATCTGAATTCTGTTAAATTTAACCAATCCTAATCCATGCTACCTTACTAACTTAACCTACTCTATTGTGACTTACCCCAGTAGTGTGTGCATGATATCAAGACTAAATGAAGAGGTTTGTTTAATATAATGCATGACATCCCTTTCAAGGTTTACTATTACCCTGGTACAAGTTTTCTGCATCATATTGGAATCTGACCCAACTGTCAGTTGGGTTAACCCATATATAGGATTCCAAAAATGTGCAACCATGTTGCAACAGATAAGCTCCCAAAGAAAATTGTTTAAAATATCTTTATAAGTTAATGAACATTATTTGTCAGAAGAAAGATGGAAATACAATTCATATACTGTACAGTATATGAAGAATCTCTACCAGAGTAATAAATTACATAAAACCAAAAATTAGATTAGATTTTTTATTTAGGTAAAGGTACATACATTGAAGAGGAGTTACAAACATAATGTTGGATTTAAAGATAGAGCTAGTACATACAATACCTAAAGCCACTAGTATGCACAGTGGCTTTATATATAGATATATGTAGTTGTAGTAGTAGTGCAGTAATATGTAGTACGCACAGTGGCTTTATATATAGATATATGTAGTTGTAGTAGTAGTGCAGTAATATGTAGTACGCACAGTGGCTTTATATATAGATATATGTACAGTAGTTGTATAAAGATTGCTTTTTTCATCACTTGCCGAGCACCGAACCTGCACAGATTGATCGATGGATCAATGTTTATTTCACATAGATACATTAATTAATGTAAATGTTTTATACGTCTCAAGACAGAAATATAAGCTTCATTTCAAATCTTTTACCATGGACATGTTTAATAATATTTTAATAACCACTTCCAGTGGGTTATGGAGTACCAAAGCCATTGCACTGGCAGATATATTGTGTAATTAACTGAGGTATGTTAATAAAGCCTGGAATATTATATGCCTTCAGAAAGATGGAGATATAATTGTTATTGTGAGTGCATTACAGGGAATATAGCATATCAAAGAACAAGGATGGTTATGATTTTTAAAGGAAAGTTTCTATAGCGAAGCCCTCGTGATCGATTGGAGCTGCGACCTCTCAAAGATCAAAGTTGATTTTAGCTAGATATAGTAATAAATGTAATTTATGTCTTCAAAAATACAGTAATTTAAGCTACATTTTAAATCCTTTGCCAGAAAAATAACTGAAGTAAAAGTGAAGATAAATGTAATTTTATCAAATTATTTGGGTGCTCACTCTGGTAGCACTGTTCATCACTGTGTTTTAAGTTCTATAATTAAACATACTTACTTTTTACTTTATGTATTTGCCATTTACTATTTGTATTTGTCTACATGTATTTATTATTTGTATTTATGACTACAGTTATTTATTTTTTGTAAACTGTCGAGAATTTTTTCCTTTGAACATTTTTGGCTTTTGGAGATACAGTACTTTGTACAGTATAAGGAAATATATTATTAAGTGGCCAAATTAATCAAACTTAAAACTACTTGACAAGTTAAATACTTTCATAGAATGTTTGTATGTATATATATATATATATATATATATATATATATATATATATATATATATATATATATATATATATATATATATATATATATATATATATATATATATATATGGAAAATCCACAGAGAAATATGAAATGAGGTGGCCAAATTTCATATTTGGCCATTTCATCTCATTTCATATTTTCATATTGAACACCTCATTTCATATTTCTCTGTGGATTTTCCGCATAAAATGATCAGTGTTTTGTGATCGTCAATTGCTTGCTTGCTTGCATGCATGCATATATATATATATATATATATATATATATATATATATATATATATATATATATATATATATATATATATATATATAAAAGACAGTGTACCAATATTTTATTATATACTAGCAGTACCCGGCCACGTGTTGCTGTCTGCTGGGCCACAGCAACCTTCCCTGTCCCCCCAGTCCTCCCCACCATCCGCCCCTCACCCGTCTCCTCGGCCTCCCAATCATTCCCCACTCCACAGTTCCCTCGTCCTCCCCACCATGCTCCACTCCCCTGTCCCTTTGTCCTCCCTACCATTCTCCATTTCCCCATCCCCTCGTCCCCCACCATCCCAAACTCCCCCGTCCCCTCGTCCTTCCTCACCATTACCCCTCCCTTGTCCCCTCATCCTCCCCACCATCTCTCACTTCCGTCCCCTCGTCATCCCCACCATTCCCCACTCACTCGTCCGATGCCTTCCCAAATGGTCTGATGTTCCTATCAGAAAATTGGGAACATCAAGTGATCTGATGTTCCCATCACTGAATTATAAGAACAACAGTTAAAAAATGAAATGAAAATATGAAAATATGAAAAAATAAAAAAATAAACTATACTTACGAAATGAACGATATGGTAAACAACACGGCTCAATTCCAATGCAATTCACACAAAATAATTAAATCAAAATGAAAATAAATCAAAATCTATGAAAATTCATTTTATCAATGCAATCAGAAACATTGAAATGGAATTGTAACATATTTAGTATAGCATGTGTAGCTCTTACATGCAACAGATGGCGCTGTTTTTCAAGAAAAACTTAGTTTTACCTGTCAAAGGCATGACCTCTATACTTATACTCTACTTACGAAATGAACGGTATGGTAAACAACACAGCTCAATTCCAACACAATGTCACACAAAATAATTCAATAAAAAAATAAAATAAATTAAAATCTATGAAAATAAAATTTATCAATGCAAACGGAAACACTGAAATGGAATTCGTGACATATTTAGTATAGCATGCATGTTGCTATTATGTGCAACAGATGGCGCTGTTTTTCAAAAACGCATGTTTTTACCTGTCACAGGGGTGGCATCGATATAGTAGGTACTATATATAAAAAGACGCACCTATTCGAATGCAACGTTGTCAAAATTTCAAAGCAATTGGTGAAGAACTTTCGGAGATTACAGCATGTGCTGCTGTTACGTCCAACAGATGGTGCTGTTTTTCAAATAAAGCATGTTTTTTCCTGTCACAGGTGAAGCATGAATATAGTAGATATATAAAAATACGCGCCTATTCGAATGCAATGTTGTCTCAAAATTTCAAAGCAATCGGTAAAGAGGTTTCGAAGATTTCCCTCACATGAAAAACACATGGAAAAAACAGTTTTTCAGAAAAAGTTTTTTTTTTTTAACATCACAGATGTGACATCTATATACTGTAGTATGTATATAAAACCCTGGCCAGATGCGAATGGAACGTTGTGCGAAAATTTCAAAGCAATCGGTGAAGAACTTTCAGAGATTAGCGGTTATGCACAAACGAACATTTCCATTTTTATTTATATAGATTGTCTGTTTACTTGATACCCAGAATGCTGCATATTAGGAGTAATACTATACTTGTCTTTACAGGAAAATGAATATGGAAATAGCAAATGCTAGATATACCGATGTAAATGGGAAAAGTATATTGTTAGAAAATTTTCATGTTATGGGCAGAAAGATTCGCTATGTGCACATACCTGATAAGGTGAGTTATGCTTTACTGTTATATTTGTCAATTAATTTTAAATAGATTTCTTATGTTGAGGTCTCTTTCATATGTAGTATTGCCTTCCAGGAATAATGGTCAGTGCATAAGGGGCACTCTTTATGAAAGGTTGGTAAGGAAATACTGTAATATACTGTACTGTAGAGTGAAGCCTTGTATGGATCACAATACAGTGGAATTTGACTTGGGTAAGAATTTAGCCAAGGCCTTGACTTGGTAAGAATTTACATCCAGAACACACTTCAATCATACTAAACAGTCATACAACCTTGGTTTCAGGCGCTGCTTGCTCGGTGTCCGAATCTGGGTGTTTTTCCATGGTTCCACCTCTTTCAGATGATCAGCTCAGAGATGTACTGTAACTCACTGGTTCGAACTTCTCCTCGGCTCCTTACGTCTAGAAGTTGAAAAGTGTAGCATAGGCTCCTCACACAATGCTCTTTATGTGGTCTAAGGGGCCAGTTTTCTATCTAGAACCACCCCTAAATCTCTTCATCAAAGTTCTTTAATGCCTTTCCATATACTGTACTGTAATTTGTAGGTTGTTGTGTCTGGCCTGTTTCATTCCACATTCCATAACATGACATTTATTCACACTGAATTCCATTTGCCAAGTGTTGCTCCATATACAATACTTACTTTGTCTAGGTCATCTTCAAGGCATGACAATTGTCTAAATATCTTATCTGCCATAGTACCTTAGCATCATCAGCAAACATGTTCATGTAATTCTGTATTCCTTCTAGTAGATCGTTAACGTAGACAGTGATCATCACTAGTGCAAGAACTAAATCCTGTGGTACTCCACTAGTGACATTTTTCCAGTCTGATACAGTGCCTCGGATTACTGCCCTCATTTTTCTGTTAGAAAAGTTTTAATCCACATTAGAAGCCTCCCTGTCACTCCTTCAGTATGTTCCAGTTTCCAGAACAATCTCTTATGTGGGACTCTGTTGAAAGCCCATTTTTAGGTCCAGATAAATACAGTATGTACAGTCAATCCAACTGTCTCTTTCCTGTAGAAAAAATAAAAAAAAAATCTCCAGGTGTTCTACTCATTTGATTTTAATTATTTTTTTCCAATATTTTGACCACTACACTTATCAACGATACAGGTCTATAGTTAAGAGGGTCTATGTTAGCCTTTTTCCATATATCTGCCTGACTCCTGTGCATAGAGAAGACTGAAAGTGAGTGCTGGATCAATGTTTTGATCCATAATGAGCCATGGCACAGACTCACAGGAAAGTTACCAGGACATGAAGTTAAGTACCCAAGCAAGTCACCTAAGTACAAGAGATGCTTGCCAGCTGAACAGATACTGAATGCAGCCTAGCAATAAACTTTGCTACAAAGGGTTTCCACGACATGTTGTACTGTATAAACAAGCATGCATATCCTAGTGCACCCCAGTTCACAACCAAATAGAACTCCCCTAGCTGTAGGACCTCACAGAGGAGTCAATGACTTGTGCACTTCCCTGGGCAAGGCTCTCCTACCCTGTAGCCTGGCCTCTCAGTGGGTCAGCTTCCAAACACACCATAGAAGTTACTCTTACCTATCACTGACTACAGTTAAGTGAGATCTAGCTCTTGATACCCAACCTCCTAGCCGATTATACACGATGTGCTAATTACCCCTCCCAACATTAATGTTTTCATCATATTTTTCTTATTCCTTAAAATGTAGTTCTCATCATGGGGGTAATGTGGTTATCATAATACGTTGATTTAAACCGATATTGTCTGGATTTTGTATGAATTATGCTAATATAAATACAATAGCTTTATATGGATGTAGTGAAGTTTACCTTGTCACATAAAAACTCCAATCATTTCATGATCACCTTAATTAATATGTCAATGCAATTATTATTGCAAATGTTACTATGCCAATGCGGTAACTGTCATGGTATAAAATTCCATTATGTTATATGATACATATACTGATTATGTTCATATGGATTTCACAACTCCATATGGTTGCAATGATGGTTCAATAGGTCCAATATAGCCCAATAGGCTTGTATGAGGCAGCTCCTATTTATATCAATATAAATAAGAGCTGCCTAATAAGTGGCCAATAGGCTGTCTATAGTTCCTTTATTACAGTATTATGTTCAAATGATGGTTGGTTGACCTGGTATGCTTCTTCACAACCATTTTAGAGTTGTGAAAACCATATGAATATAATCAGTATACATGTGTGTCACGTAATATAATAGAATATACAGAATTTACATTATCGTGATATATCTATAAGAAAATCCACAGGAGCCGTGATAAGGATTCTAACTGATGCAATGGGTATTCCCAGATGCACGATCTAAACTACTACGTAGTCACCAAAAATAAAAATGGTCAAAAGAATTGCACCCTCAAGGATTCCCAAGGTTACCACTGAAACCGAACCAGGGTTTCACACAATTTCCCCATGCACTCTGGTTCTGTCCTCTAGTAATTCTACCTATGATGCCTCTCTTTCAATTCACAGATAAATTACATTATCCTGATATATCAATAAAATACCTATTAAATATATACCTATATACTGTATCTATAAAATAACCATCTCATGTTTTTCTTTAATGATAGCAAGGCCAAAAGGCTTGGTTATTTCCAAGTTTGAATGTTTCTGTGCTATACTGTATATAATTATCACAAGTTTAATATACTTATTACTGATTACTCTTAACTTTGATAACATTTATTCATCAGATTGACATTATGGAGTTAATCAAGAAGAGAGTCACATTTTCAGCTCCTCGTCAGAAGATGAGGTTAAAAGGTCTTATTGCTGAAAAGAGAACAGAGCAGACCTTAAAAAGATATAGAAGAGAACATGGGATGCAATGTACAAAGCAAGATGATGAAGATAAGGCTGGACCATCACAAGATCCTCTTGAATAAATTTGCTCTCCTTATGTACCTTAAGAAACTTTGATTTTGCCTTCCGTCACCAATTTTCCAGTAAGACCTTCAAGTTTATTTTTGAGCTATTTAAGAGTGGTCATGCACAAAAACATCTGAGAATTGAAAGTGTAATTTAGGCTGTATATGATACAGTATTCTGGTTGTCAAAATATTAATTTAAAAATTGCAAATTCAGTACATTCAGGAGGCAGGAAAGATCTTCAAAGAAGAAATGTGATCAAAGCCAAACTTAGATTTGAAAGAACTACTGTATTTGTCAGCATAAAAGATGCACTCTCACATAAGATGCATCCCTATTTTACAAGGATATTTTGTGGAAAAAACTATTTTAGTATGTTTAATCATACATTTATTGAAAGATATTTTAAAGTGGTTTTTGTATCCCAACTTTTACCTCCTCTAAGATCAGCTGTATAGTTGTTTATATTTTGGCCAAGAGAATTGCTATATAGGATGTGAAACTTGTATTTCTGGATGTGATATTTTGTGTTTACCGCAGCAGGCCACCAGGGCAGTGCACTCAGTGGGAGCACACCATCGCAGTGCTATTGTTTTGTTGTTATTCACTCATTACAAATGGCTGACAGGTAGATGAAAGTTTAACATTCCTTTCAAATTTTCAGGAACATTTCTCATTTGGATCATGAATAAATGTTTTTTAAAGGTAACACAGTCGTTAAATAATGTATGATATATCAGGTGTGGGTTATGTATGCTGGTACATAACCCACCATTGCATTGGTGAGTGGCACGCACCAATGCAAAAAATGTTTACCACAATTTTTAAGTTTTCCAAATTATTTGTTAGGCTATAAATATAAATTTGGTGTCAAAATGTTTGCAAGTGAATTGTTTAGAGATTGGATGCAAAAACAAAAGTGAATTTATCATAGATTTTTGCTCCTCTTCATGTGTTCCCAAACATAATAATAGTGGACTTGGCAGGTCCTGCTCAGGAATGCTTAAAAAATTGATACAGTATTATTATTAAGTAATCTCAGTTATTTGTTTTATTATAACTACAAAAAAAAAAAGCCAAATGTTCGTAATTGAATTCTCTAGAAAACAAAAGCAAAAACAAAAATGTATTAACAATAGATTAAACATGATAGTGATGAATGGCAGTAGGATAACTTGTTTTTAGCATCATTGGAATGTTTACTGTGGAGTACGGATGACACATGCTTCAACAGTAAACATTCAGTTGTCATTGGAACGCAAAGTGTTAAGTAGTGGACTATGTTTCTATAATTGTTTAATACTACATCATATCTTAGATATACATAGTGTACTAGTTATACCATACTATACATGCTCTAAAAGGGGCTCCTCCTGGGAGCTCCTTTTTGAGCATGTATAATATGGTAACACTGGAGAGATACCAATGAGCTAGGATCACTCTAAAACCTCATACCTCGGTCAATAGGCCATGGCAGAGCTGAACTCGAACCAGGCTGGGTCCATCAAAGAAGTGAGGTCTGAATCCCACAGGATGAACCAAAACAGGTCCACAGGGGCCACAGAAGATCAAGGTGGGATGATTGAAACCTCTAAAAATATAGTGTAATGAACCCATGGAACCAATTGACACATAAAAGCAAACCCTAGGCCAGCTGCTGAATAATCTAGCTCATACATTACAGGAGGATGAGTGGGGGGGCCTGGGGGCCTGACAGGGAGTGGGCAGCGCTTCAGATTTGTAGTCCTGAGGTTCTGGGTTCGATCCCTGATGGAGGCGGAAACAAATGAGTTTCTTTCACCCTGATGCCCCTGTTACCTAGCAGTAAATAGGTACCTGGTAGTTAGACAACTGCTATGGGCGGCTTCCTCGGGGTGTGTAACAAAAAGAAGGCCTGGTCAAGAACCGGGCTGCGGGGACGTTAAGCCCAATATCATCTCAAGAGAACCTCAAGAAGATAAGATAGGAAAAGTCTTACCCCAGGAGTAAGATACCCTCATCTGAAGGAAGCAAAATCCAAGAAGGCTTAAAAAGCGCGCACACACCCTCCTCAAGCTCTTTTCAAGCCTCGGAAGCCAGCCATGATGACTCCAGGGTGGAACAGTATTCACCACCCAATGCCTAAGAAAGAAAGTCATTGTCCTAAGGAGAAAGAATGGTGCTAGGTATGTTGTGAAGACAAAAAATCTCTGAAGCAGAGCGATTTCCAGGGGCGGCCCCATTCACTTCGATGGAGGAGGTAGCCGAGCCATCCCTTCCCCCTTCCACTTCCCCACTGGGAAGGGATGGCTCTCGGTTACCTTCACTATCAAAGTGGATGGGGCTGCTCCTGGAAATGGCTGAGCTTCATCCAAAACTAAACCATGCTCTGACACAAAACTCTCAGGCATTTTGAAGCCAGAATCGGGAAGGAAAGGCCAGAAGCTATGCAAACCACACCTACAGGGGAAGAAAGAGGAGGTCCAGTCCCTAGAACCTAAAGTTTCTAGACACCACAGGGAGCACAAATACAAAAAAAGCCCATAAAGCTTTGTCATGAAGTGGGCTTGGATAAAATGGATACTCAATGTGTGCCTATCTTGCAGAACTCTGGGTCAAAAATGTCACCGACCTAACAGGTAGCATGGCAGAGCCAGGCAGAATTACTGTTGGACTGTAACAGGGCTGTCAAGAGCCCTTCCAATTTGCATGTAGTGAGTGCAGGCTCAATGGGTCAATCCATAATGAGCTGAACCATAGACCTACAGGAGAATTAACATGGCCTGAAGGTAACTAGCCAAGCAGGACACTTCAGGCACTACGAATGGTCACCAAAAGAACAATCTCTAAACTCTGCAAAAGAACAGACACCGAACGAAGTCTAACACAACACAGTTATGAAGGGTGTTCGTGGTGTACAGTAGAAACAAACGCATGTGTATCCTAGTGCTCCCCACTCACAGTCAATAAGGATGTCCCACACCACTCCACAGTCTGTATAGTCTGAATGGCAGGCTCTTTCTCCTGATAACTCCCCCTCATACTCTCTTTCCTTGAACATCATATTTTCTATACAGTACTTCAGTAATACTTTTGTGGTACGACCTCTTGACACATTCCCAACCATAAATGTTCGGGTGCTACCTAGGTTATACCTACCTGGCTACCAAGGTCATACACAGAGGAGTCAATGATTCATGCCCTGGCCAAAGCAAGGCTCTCCACACAACCTGTCCTCGGGATACCATAGCGCTTATGTCAAATAATGCTCATAGTTCCTAGGCTGCTAATGTTCACAGTTTTCCTGTGGTAGATTTAGTTATTGGCTATCAACAGGTACCAACCCTTCCTCACGTACCATAGTACCCGTCCCGTCGTCGTAGGCACCAGAATAGTCTGTTTGATCAAATTTAAACGATAATTGTGATAATAATAAACTGCATACAGAAGTTTAACATACAGAAGTTAAACTGTGTGTGTAGCACACAACCCTTGTGTGCTACACACACGTTGGGGCCTGGTAGGCTGGTGGATAGTGCGCAGGACTCGTAATTCTGTGGTGCGGGTTCGATTCCCGCACCAGGCAGAAACAAATAAGCAAAGTTTCTTTCACCCTGAATGCCCCTGTTACCTAGCAGTAAATAGGTACCTGGGAGTTAGTTAGCTGTCACGGGCTGCTTCCTGGGGTGTGTGTGTGTGGTGTGGGGGAAAAAAAAGGTAGTTGAGAGGCGGGCTGAAAGAGCAAAGCTCAACCCCCGCAAACACAAGGGTTGCCCCCCCCCCCCCTTACGTATTGGTCACACACGTTTAACTCACTGGCACTCAATGGAGCGCTGCCCTGCTCCTTATTGTCTGAACGGCATTGTCCCTCTTACTGTTGTGCGTATTGTTGTTGAATGTTCTGACTTCCGAGACGTGTGCGTGTCTTGCTTTCCAGCTGTCCCTTGCGGTCATTTGTCCCTCAATGGAATCGTTGGTGAATTAGGTATCTTTGATATCGTTTGTCTTGTACGCTTTTGTTCTTGTATTGGCATTCTCAGTGATGGTTAGCACCTTTTGAATATCCTGCACCTTTGATGGTGCTATATAGTCTCCCCGGCTTGGTGCCTTCTTTTGATAATTACTTAATTGTTCCCAGACAGAATCTGTGGTGAAGCCAATACCCTTGATATTGCTCACCTCATGTGCTTTTGGTCTCGTATAGGCATACTAAGTAATAATTAGAGCCTTTTGAATATCCAGCAACACTGTTGGTGCTTTCTTTTAATAATTACAGCCTGTACTTAACTTTTCATGCACGAGTGCAATAACAGTACTATGCACTTTACAAGTGAATGGAGGTGATGTTTATACCATTAAAAATGCTTATATAATAGCAGAAATACTGTATGTACAGTACATTGAAGAAAGTTGGGCCAATAAGCATTATACAGCACAGTATCTAGTGACTTATTTGTTAACCCATTTATTTTTTTATTTAGAATGCCCTGATTTTTCAAGATATGTGACTAAACAGACTAATGTAATTTGGATACCAGAGCCAAGTTTCTTTTCTATTAAATGTTCATGGGTTATTTTTCCAGGTGATATGTACTCATGGTACTAAATTTAAAATTTGTATTGCAATACCACCTCATGAGAAAGAAAAGGCTATGAAAGTAAATAAATTTTGATGTCAGGTACTTTATTATTAGTGGTAGCTAGCCACTTATCTTCAACATTTGCATATGCTGCATCAATACAATATAAACAAGAATGGTTTTACACATTTTGCTAAAAGAAAATATATGTTAATAATTTTTTTATATTATAGTATAAGCTCAAAACCCACAACTGAAGTGGCAGCCATTATATTTACACTTAACTGTACATTAGTAGATTTTTTTATAATTTTTTATTGAAAGACAAAATATGAATTCCAAAGATAAAACATGTAAGGTAGCCTCAGCATTTTTGTCATAATCTTAAAAGATACAAGTCAAAGCTTTACTGCCAATATACACTGAAACTAGGGGCGCAATAAAGGTAAAGAATGCTAAATACATTAAAATATTACATCCATCCCACTGTGAAATGTCATAACACAGCATCACAGATAACCAGCACCAACACTACATACAATTATTATAAACATTTATAGCTACTATATAATATATATAATAAAAAATGGCTATGCATATATTAATGAAACAAAGTAATTATTACCATTGCACAATTGTGTATTCTTCTCATTTCTATATACTCGTCAAAATTTTAGCGATTCTTTGCTCCCAATTAATGTTACACATTATACAGTATCTGAGAATTCATTTCCTTAATTCAAGGAGTTAACCAAACCTTATTTTCATGAGACAACACACTATCTGTTTAACGTGTATTTTCTCTAGGCAATTGTTAAATTGTCTTCATGTGCATTTCTTCTGTAAGGGGGGGTGGGGGAGGAAGCAGTAAGGAAATGAGGGGAGTAAAAAGGTAACAGGAGAGAGAGAGAGAGAGAGAGGGGAAAGGGACTGGGAGAGGCAAGGAAAGAGAGGAATAGGGAGGGAGGGGACGGAAAAAGAGGGAGGGAGGGGACGCGAAAAAGAGGGAGGGAGGGAGGAAAGGAACTATCAGAAAAAAGCACCAAGCCATTACAACTACAGTATATATTATAGCACTTGGATGGAATCAGGATAAGGATTAGGGATGGGACAGAGAAAAAGAATGGTGCCTGCATGAAGCAAGACCGTACAGGCCAAGTGGCTGGGCGATGGGGGTTTACAGGGAGAGAGGGAGGGGGGAAGAGATAGGTAGATGGAAAAACAAAAATAAAATACTGTAGTGAAATATATAGATAAGGAGAGGAAGAGACCGAGTGAATTTCGTTCTTATCATTAAGTCTCCGAAATGTATATTCATTTAATTACTGTATTAGTACATTATAAAGATAGGTAGTTATGTGTCTCCAAATTTTATATTAATACACTGTAGCGAGTATATTATGTAAACAATATACCTGCTCCACTCTCTCATTAGCATTAATATCTCTTCCCTAATTACAGTTAACATTCCTTCCAACCTATTGGAGGATGATGAGGTGAGGTGTAGTCCAATCATATAAGCAATCGAGAAGCGATTAATCATCAATATAATTTCCACAGTGATTCAGTTAACTTCAGTACAAATGCTTGGGAGTTACCACACCTCTTCAACCTCAAGAATGTAGCACTCGGCGTGTACAGTTCCAACCGACCCCAAGATGCTTCAGCTTCGGCACAAAGCAGACAGCAGACTACGACCACATGGAGCTCCCATGCTCTCGGCCTCATTGAGTTTAGACACTCACCATCTCATTGAGTTTCGACACTCATCATCCCACATCAAGCCGCCGCGCTCTCCCGCATCGAGCTCTGCGACTCCGGCCTCACTCAGCTCTCTACTCTGCTCCAAGTTCTGTTTCAACGTCTACAATACTGCCAACAATCGACTGCTGTAACCAAGACCACTAAATAAATACGAAAACCCACTAAACACTGTGTATCTAATATACCCAACAGTGTAACATAATCGTACGTTACAACACTTTAATTATAGAACATACTAGATAAACATTAATACATGATGTACTATTTCCATATAATTATAAAAATACTGTATTCTTAACACACACACACACCCTCTCGGGTTCGATTCCTGGCCAAGGCAGAAACAAATGGGCAATTTCTTTCAACTGATGCACCTGTTCACCTGGCAGTAAATAGGTACCTATAAGTTAAAAAACTTCTGTGGGCTGCTTCCTGGGAATGCGTGTGTATGTATTAGAGAGAAATATATGTAATAGACATAAGAGGAAAAAACAGATTGGTTAGAAAGGTAGGGTCCAAGAGCTGATAGCCTGATTCTGCACACACAAATAGTAAATACACACACTGTATCTATACATCTACATTGCTGTACTACTGCAGTTACTCTATTGTTTGGAAAAACTCACTTGTCCGAACATTCTTGACACTGGCATGTGAGACTTGCGACCCATACTGTTTTGAATCCAGCCTGTCCTGTGGTGATATTTTGTTCATTATTATACTCATCCTACTGTGTAGGAATATTAAGCCACACAAAATAGCTTTCCCCAAGAATTTGTGCAAGTCCCTTAAGCATAATCATTGCAAGAAAGATATCCATACCGTATTTATAAGGAAAAATGGATCCAGATTGGGTTTGCAGGCTGGGGGTATTCCATACTTAACTAATTATCAAAAAGGTACAAAGATGGGGAGACTATAGTACATGTGTTGCTGAATATTCAAAAGGTGCTAAATATTACAGAAGAGGTCAATACGAGAATAAAAGCACGCAAGACGAGTAATATCAACGGTAGTGTTCACTAAGGATTTTATCGAGGGACAAATCACCTCAAGAGACAGTTGGGAAGCATGACACATGAATGTCCTGAAAATCGGGACATTCTACAAGATGTGTATGACAGTATAGGGAAAATGTAGTTTGGACAATAAGGACCAGGACAGAATTCCATTAACTGTCTGAGTCAAGTGTGTATGGCCAATGTGTAACCTAACCAGGTACGTTTCCCACTGCCAATTACAATGGTAAGGGAATGGCCAAAGGCAAAGGCTACTCTTAAGAGCATGCAGTTTGTTACCTGTAACACAAGACCAACAACCCTGCCAACAGTTTCGTATTGAGGTATGACTGGGTAGAAATCTGAATAAGGAATGCCTTTTTGGGAAATGGGACAAGTGGAGATAGCCTCCTTAGCAGTAGTGTATGCACGCCCATTTAATATCAATATGACCGGGAAACCAGCTGATTTCAATCTGCTAGAGATTAAAATTGGCCAATATTGGATTTTGAATACCACAGGATTAACTGACTCCAGAGCCATGACAGCATTGCAAGAATTAACCACGATGACAAAGGAACATTGACGCCGAAAAAGCAGTTGACAAAGAGCACACAAAATTGCACACAGTTCAGCAGTAAAATGGTAGGCTTCAGAGATTAGCAGCACAAAGCTTTAGTCCAAAAACCTACAGAGTAGTCAACACTATTAGCAGACTTAGACCCATCTGTGAATAGGGCAACAGAATTTGAGTGTGAAGAAAAATGTTCAAGGAAAAGGCATTTCATAACAATAGGAGGGGTAGAAGTCTTTTTGATTCTAGTGATAAAGACTTGCAAAACTTTGCAAGTGAGATCCTCCATAGGGGCAAGGATGGAATAACACAAGGAGACATATTGCAAATAAAAAACAAACTAAAGGGAGGCTTGTGAAACATCCTTATAGAAAATTGAAGGTGGTGAAAGAAAACAGGGCCTACACAGGATGTTGCAGAGACCCTGCAAGGTAGCAAAAGCAGTAACGATTCAGGGAAGCCTGTAGCAACAAGATGCCAATTTCAATATACAAGATCTGAGTAGGGGACGAGCACAAGGCACTAGAGCCGAGCCACAACCCAGCATGGTGCAAAGCATCAAGATGACGAAGGGTCAATGGAGAGGCATAGGAGCCATAATCCAGTTTAAACACCACAAGAAATGAGTGCAAATAGAGGAATGTGAATCTTATCGGCACCCCAGAAAGTATGGGACTAGACTTAAAGTAATGTTAGGGCTTGGAGCATTTGACTTGAAGGTAAGAGATATGGGGTGACCAACATAAACGAATGAGAAAGATCAATCCCAAAAGTTTTGCAGACTTTTTTAAGAGAAGGGGACTATCACAGAGCAACAATGGAGGATGAAGAACAACCTACCTCTGAGTAAAAGTCATAGCCCAAGTCTCGGACATAGAGAACTTAAAGCCATGATTGGTGGCCCGGGATGACACAGCATCAATTGCAAGTTGGAGCAGGTGTTGGAGGAAAGAGGAATTGTTCACCAAACAGCAGAGAAATCAACATAAAGGGCCAAGAAAATACCAGAGGGAGAGGTAAGACCATTAAAGGCAACAAGAAAAATAGTTGTGCTCAGAACACTACCCTGTGGAACATCTTTGAATTGGGGAAGGAGGCAGAGAAGATGACACCAAGTCTCACTTTAATAGAACGATGAGAGAGGAAGCTATGAAGGAAGAACTGGAGATTTCCACAAAGACCAAAAAATGGATCTGGAAAAAATATTGTACCTTCAGGTGGTGTCATAATCTTTCACCAGATTAAAAAGAATGAGAACCATGGCGGCCTTTGTGGCAAAGGAACAAATGTAAACCTCTAGATCCACTAAAATGCCATTCATGCTGTGAATCTTGCCAAAGCCAAATTAAGAGAGGGAAAGGTAGTGATAGCCTTCTAAGAACCAGAAAAGATGGACATTGACCATATGTTTGAAAAGCTGCAGCCACAACTCTTCAGGGCAGTGGGACGAAAATCCTTAGGAAAGGTTCCTAAAGTACCATGTTTCTGAATAGAAAGAACAATCACATCAAGCCAATCTTTAAGGACTGATGATACCTCCCAAATACAATTATAAATATTCAGTAAATACTGAAAGGCACCATGAGGAAAATGGGGATGTATCTCATGATGAATGCTGACTGAGCCTCCCACCATCGAACCATGGAGGGACTGGCAGACTGGAGTTCCGATAGAAGAGATCGTTATAGGAGAACTGGAGTCTAAGTGCAAAAGACGAACGTATGAGACTCAAGCAGGGGCTTATAGGTAACGAAAGTAGGAGGAAGATGAGCACTGGAGCTAATGGCTCCACGGAATGCACTTCTGTGCACTACGGGAGGCATAGCGAGGAATAGAGAGGAGGGAAGCATCCACAATAAGGTGTCACAAGAAAGAAAAAGGGCTCAAGAGAGAGAGAGACAAATCAGATAGGTTGGAAAGAAGAGCATAGAGGGAGAAAAAGATTCTAGTCCACCTTATTAAACTGTCACTGAGGGAATAAAATAGGAGGGTGGAGAGAAAAAGAGGGTTATGAGGGTGGAAAGAAAAGAGGGTTATGAGGATGGGGAAATGGGCACTTATGGAGGTCATTGAGGACCCTCTACAACAGGTCTATATAAATGAAAGATGAACCAAGGGAAGAATCAATACAGGCAGGGTTCAAATGTGAGAGTTAACACAAGTCAGCTCGCCAGAATTCAGGAGACACATTGGAGAAGAGAAGATAGATAGATAGATTCCAAAAGACGGCTTTGGGTATTCATCAGAGCATCGTTCCAGAGGGCATCCCAACAGTTAAAATCACTCAAAAGGAGCACAGGCTCCAGTAATGAGTCCAAGAGGCAGCTAAGATCTCGAAGAGGAGGAGGAACATGCAGGGGAATATAAATGGAACACACACTGTATCACTGACCTATAAAGATACGAGTGGCATAGGAATGAACGTTCGACTGAAAAAGGAGAGAGATAAAGGAAGCAGTTGAGTTAGGAGTCCCAGTATAAGCTGGGGGATGGGGAGAGGAAAGAAAGGCATAACCATAGAAGTGACCAGAACACTCGCCAAGCATTGGCTCCTAGCGACGGACAAATAACGGTGAAAATTGAGTTAACAGAAGTTGAAGGTTAGGAATATGCCATTGAAGAATAGACATAGTAAAGAATAGAGCTCAAGAAAAACAACTAAGGCAAATGACCCAGGAGACTAGGGAGGATCAGTAGTGGGGGGAAGGCAGAGATGGAGGAGTTGGGAAGGCAGTAGGAAGGAGTAGAGGTGAGCTGGTGAGGTCTGGGTAGGGGTAGTTGAGGGAGGTCAGGCAATGACAAACTGCAGTGAGCACTGCATCAGGGACAGTACCAGAGGGCTACGGCAGCTTTCATAGCTAGATCAGCCGACTCTGGCTGAGACGGGAGGAGAGGCATGAACCAAGATGGAAGACGAAATGGGGGACAAACATAAGCCTTCTTACCTGCTGGGGAGGAAGAGGGGAAGAGGAACCAGGTTTCCATTTCTGATTCTGAGACACGGGTGTACCCGTAGCGATGTACTGTGCAAAGGCATTCACAGTCTCAGTCGGAGAGGGAGAACAAGAGCAGACAACACAAAGGTGACAGGAAGGATAGTGGCCTGGATGGACAGCTGAGGGGAAGACTGAGAAGAAAGATGGGGTCGAAAAGTGATAAACGGCACAGAGGAAGGAAGAGTAGGCTCAAATAGAGAAATGGAGCTAACCTGGGAGGTAGGAGACAAGTGGAAAGGAAGGTTGGAAATGATAGACAAGAGATTTAAGAGAAACACTTGTGGCTACAGTCTGAGGAGAAGGGAAGCTCGAGGTGTAAGGAGGTTTAAGTTTTGGAAATGACTTGAGAATGAAGGAAGGGAAGAAGGGTGGGGAAGAGTAAATGTGATCCAACACATGAGCATAAGTAATGGTAGAGAAAACGTCAAGATGGCAGACCTGACACCAAGCCTTGGGGAAAGAAATACGATCAAGATCCTTCAAAGTGAGGATGGCTTGTTCAAATTTATAAAGGATGCATGTACAAGAAAAGGAAGGGTGGACCTCACAGCAGTTGATGCAACGAGCTTGGGAAGAAGAGCAATCAGTACAAGAATGTCTAGGGTCACCACACAAGGGCCAAGTAAGTAATTATCAAAAGGCACCAAACCGGGAAGGCTATATACCATCAAATGTGTAGGATAATCAGAGGGCGCTAAATATCACCAAGGATGCCAATACGAGAACAGAAACGCATAAGGTGAACGATATCAAAAGTATCCGAGTCACCAAGAATACTATTGAACACAAGAGCCAAGGGACATCTTATTGTTGCACTCAGAACCATGACCAAATTTCCAACACCTATTGCAGGCATAGAGAGGGGGATGTGCTCCTGAATGGAGCATCTGGCACTAGCAAGAATGATGGAAGGGTCCTACCAACAAAAGTGATCTTAACAATACAATGGGGTTGATGACCATAAGAGAGACAAGTGAAGGAGTCAATCTGGAGGACAGAAGAGCCCTGGGTCTGGAGGATATATTTAATACAGTATCCTCATGGCAGTCTTCGAGGTCTCTATCTCCACTTTCAACATAGTATGGGAGAACAGTGCCAATGCTGGCATTCAACAAAGGGATATTGAGTAAGCAAAATTTCCAGTCATCCTGAAATTCAGGTCACTCTTTCAGGCCACAAAGTAAAATTTAGCCTTTCTGATACTGTATATACACATCAGATAAATGTTTTTTAAATTTTTAATAATTATATAATTTAGGAAGCTGTGTTGATAACAAAATTCAGCCAAATAATTTATATTCCTTCTTTGCAGCAGTAGGCATTTCTGTGTGGTTAGACATGCCTAGTTCTGTCAATAAAGGAAAGGGTGCAGCAGGATTATCCCTTGACGAGTTACTCTCATGCTGAGGAATAACTGTTGGAATGACTGTTGGTAATCTTGTGTCTACCACTGCCCCTTGGCGAAAAATGCGTGAACCATTTGCCATTCCAACATTCTGAGTAGTGTTTGCAACTGAGCTTGATTCAGAACAACCATAATCACTATCAGTGTGACAAGATTCAGTACTATTTCGGCTGTTATGGTCATCATTGACACCGAGCCGTGAGAACTGTGGTATCATTGGAGGAGCACATCCAGCTACTCCTACAGCACCATTATGAGGAGGCCGGCATGTGGCTTCGCTGTAGCTGGGTGGGTCTCTGCTCTCAACACCATTAGCCATGACTGGACCGACATTTATATGAGGCATATGAAACGGTGAACCACTAGGTTGAAGATGATCCATTCCATAAACTATGTTACCCCCAGTTCCCTGCTTCCACGCAGCTGCTCCGCCATACGGTAATATTCGTGGACGATATGCAACTGGCCCATTGGCAACCAATCTTGGAACATCTGCATGCACTCCTTGGCATGCAGGATAATATGGGGGTAAATGTACATTTGGAGATAACCCTGGTGGAACAGGTGAACGTGGTGGAATTGAAGATGGCGGAGAATAAGGAGGAAGCATAGAAGCAGCTGATGGAGATGGAGAAGGATTAAAGAAGTGAGGAAGAGATGGCTGGGTGGATGGTGAAGGTGACTGAAGAGATCCAGCAGTGTCATAATGCATTTGGAGCAAACGAGGCGATGGCGATATTGAGCTCGTTTCACCTTGGGAAATTCCTGAAAGAAAAGAAATATTCAGCTTAATGATATACTGTAGGCTTGCTCAACTAAAGGACTAGAAATTCAAAGCACCATATTTCTCACACAAGTATCTAGACTATCTTACAGTACTCACAAGAAGATAATAGGCCCAAGGCCACAACCCTAGAGGAGAGAAGGAACAGAGGGGTATATGATCACGACATACATGATACTGAGAGGAATCCACTTATCCACTTCAACCTTAAAGTAGATAAAGTGGATAAGGATAGCCTCTTCAAATTGGAAAAAAGTACAATGAGGACAAATGTGGAAGTTGGAAACATACATCAGCTAAAGGAATGTAAGGAAATACTCATACCCTATATAAGTAGTCAACATTTATCAGTCTCCGTGGTGTAGTGGTAAGACACTCGCCTGGCGTTCCGCGAGCGCTATGTCATGGGTTCGTATCCTGGCTGGGGAGGATTTACTGGGCGCAATTCCTTAACTGTAGCTTCTGTTTAACGCAACAGTAAAATGTGTACTTGGATGAAAAAACGATTCTTCGCGGCAGGGGATCGTATTCCAGGGACCATAGGATTAAGGACTTGCCCGAAATGCTACGCGTACTAGTGGCTGTACAAGAATGTAACAACTCTTGTATATATCTAAAAAAAAAAAAAAAAAAAAAAAAAAAAAAAAAAAAAAAAAAAAAAAAAAAAAAAAAAAAAAAAAAAAAAAAAAAAAAAAAAAAAAAAAAAAAAAATAGTGATCATGTTGCAGCATGCTAAGAAAGAAACTCATAATCTTGAAGCACACACTGTTACAGCAGATATGTAATAGTGTAATTTCTGTGCAAATTTCTTAAGATATGAACAAGTGCACAGTAATTACACAGATATGATTGTGTAATTACTGTGCACTTGTTCATATCTTAAGAAATTTGGCTGTTGAAATAAACTAAGACATATTTATTGCATGTTTGTAAATGGGGATATATAAATAATACACAAACATGATTAACTCTAGAAATGCACATACCATCTTAAGATGTACGTATTAGACATTCTTTTCTGTGCATATACAGATAATACCAAGTGCAAAGGTTAAAACTGTAAGGAATATCAAAAAATGAGTACACACAAAAGTAATAAACACTATAAATCAAAATAATTCAAACATACTGAATAACTGATAAAATTGAGGCTTTAGAATATGAAGATTTTAGAAAATGTCCTTACTTCTTGCTCGGGCCCTCTCATCCAGGACCAGACCGTAACTCTCCAGTTCCTTGAAGACCGTGGTCATGTCTGGACGCTTTCCTGCCGTTTGCTGTACACAATCCTAAAGGAGTATATCATCATTATAACTAATCACAATACTGCATTTTTATAATAATTTTTCATTTATCTATTAAGGATGATCTTTAAATTATTATTGATTTGTTATGAGTTTCTCTTTTTGTCTGTCTTCCTTGGTTCTCCATCTCTCCCTCTCCCATTCTGCACCCACTTTATTCTTTAGCCATTTTTGCTTCTTTTTCAATGTACAGTATAAGTATTTTTATAAAAAGCAATTAAATATCAGCATGTTGGAAAAAATAAAGATAAGACTTACTTTTCCAAGTTTATAAAGGAATGTAAACACTTCACCATCATGACCGATTCCAGCATTTCTGTCTCTGAGTAACTCCTCATCGGTAGTGTCGTCTACGAGATCTTTCTGCACAAAGTACAAATAGCTATCAATCATTTATTTGCTGCCCTACTAAATGACACTTTGCCAATCTAATACTGTAATTAAAATAATTGTCTCCATAATGACTGACATTCTAATTAGGTCTCTTAACCTAATATCTGATATATTAATGTAAAGCAGTTTAATTTAATTTGTACTTCAACTCTTACTCCGAGAGTAAACTTACCAAAAATTTTCCTCCTTCCTTCCTCTTCTCATCATATGCTCTAAGTCCCGTGCACAGTTCAAAGAGAACAACCCCATAACTATACGTATCCACTTTTACCGACAGCTTTTTGGACCTTAGGTAATCAGCTGGAAGGTAAGGCTTGGTACCATGTACTCTTGACACCTGAAAGGAGAAATTATTTCTTAGTACAATAACTAAATATGTTTTGATAGTATGCAATATTTCCAGTCCAATACCAGATATATCTTACAGTTCAAACAATATTATTCAAATTTATGAAATAAAACCGGCATTGAATGTAATGAAAAGCCAGTTTCTGGCTGAGACCTGGAGGCTCCCCGGAGTTAACTGAGCTGATATGAATGTATTAGACCTCTGGCATTAGTCAATGCACATGGAGTTCTAGGCCTACAGGGGACCATGAGCAAGAACTTGGAGCCAGATTCACGAAGCAGTTATGCAAGTACTTACGAACGTATACATCTTTCCTCAATCTTTGACGGCTTTGGTTACATTTATTAAACAGTTTACAAGCATGAAAACTTGCCAATCAACTTTTGTTATTGTTATAAACAGCCTCCTGGTGCTTCCAAGCTCATTACTTGTTTAATAATTGGAAACAAAGCCGCCAAAGATTAAGAATAGATGTATAGGTTCGTAAGTGCTTGCGTACTTCGTGAATCTGGCCCTTGGCTTCCTCAGAGAGGCACAAGGAGCAATAGCCTATAGAAATTCCCGTGTGGTTGGAAGCATTTTACATCTGCCATCGACTGGGTCAGGCACTGAGAAAGGTAAGCTCCCCCAAAACAAACTCCTGTTCTGGTTAAAATATTGCAACTGAAAGCCAAACTAGTGGACAGAAATCCCTAATGAAAACGAGCAAGTGGGAATGACATCACTACGTTACCGCTTCGCTGTCTGCGCAACCCCTCCCCCTCTACCTGGGAGGGGGAAGCCCCAGACCCCCGCACCAGCTATCTACCCCTGCAGTTCTGAGACTGGATGTCAAAAACCATGAAAAAAACGACGACCAGAGGGAGGGAGGGATGCCGAGGAGCCTCTGGGTCTTGCCCAGAAGCTGGCGTTTCATTACATTCAACGCTGGTTTTCTGGTGGGAAGGGGGGGGAACCCATTCGGCTCCCCGGAGCTATTTATCCAAGGACAAAACAAGAGGGACTTACTCGGGAGGTGGTCGGCCCTCACTCCTCAACATGAAGTCGAGACAACAGGCTGCAACCGCTGACCCAATACGACACAGACCGACTGGGCCCAGGAACATTAACAAGGTAGCGAGCGACCATAGCCCTGTTTGACCTCCAAAGCCCCATTCCCGAATGTCAGATCAAGACGTGTTACCGAAGACCGCAGCAAATTACGAACATTGTGGGCACGAGAATAAACCGCAGGCTGGCTGGCCCGAATAACCCTGCGGACGACCTGAGAGACCCAAGCCTTGGAACAGGGAAGAAGGGAAACCGGGTCAACCCAAAGCGCATCTCTGGCCACCAAAGCCGTGGCACGCAGGTAACGGCAGAGTCGCAACAGGAAACAACACATGATGCACCCCTGGCCTAACCAACCAAGCATCAACAACCCAAGGACCACTACGGAAAGCAGCACTCATTCATCGGCAGAAAAGAAGGAGACAGCTGCAAACGAACAAACCTACCACCAGGATCAAGAGAGCAGAAACCCCTGTGCCGGAGGAGAGCATGAAGCTCCCCGACCTAACCCTCAGAGGCCAATGCCAATGGGAAAAGAGCTTAAGAAAAACAATCCTGAACCGAAGGGACCACCACAAACCAAGGAGAAGAGAGAAAGGAGAGCACCCGGTTCAACGACCAGGAGCACTCGGTCCAATGACTCGGGACCAGATTCATGAAGCAGTTATGCAAGCACTTACGAACCTGTATATCTTTTCTCAATCTTTAGTTGCTTTGTTTACAATTATTAAACAGTTAATGAGCTTCAAAGTACAGTACCAGGAAGCTGTTTATAACAATAACAACAGTTGATTGGGAAGTTTTCATGTTTGTAAACTGTTTAATAAATGTAACCAAAGCCGTCAAAGATTGAGGAAAGATGTACACATTCATAAGTACTGTACTTGCGTAACTGCTTCGTGAATCTAGCATGCGCTGCCTGACTGTTCAGGCAGCGAATGAGCAGGCTGGAGGTGAAACAATGCACGAGACAGCTTGTGGAATGGAGCAGAAGTAACATCAATACCGAATGCAAGCTGCAGCAGCTCCGCCAGCGGCACACTATACGAGACAATAGTATTCAGCATAAGATGATGGTCTTGGAACCACCACATAGGAAGGACAAGACAACCCTATCTCTATCTAAGACAGAAGTGCTGTACACCTATGCAGAGATAAGAAATAATGGTAGGACCACCAGGAAACTTTATACTGCTGGTGAGACGAAGCACACAGGTGGACAACATCAACGAAGCCACCTGCGCACCATGCAAGTGATGATAGACCCAAGTCAGAAAGCCCAGACACAAAGACTCGAGGAAAAGAGCGAACCAGCCATGTACCAGGCTGGACTGATCTGCTGAAAGAGGCAGAGCCACTGGAAGACCCTCGGGTTGGGACACCGAGCAAGCAGCGTCTGAAACCAAGGCTGGACTGGCCACCAAGGGGCCAGAAGGACAACGCTTCCCTAGTATATCTCCAAGCGAGCCTGAGACACACAGCTGTTGCCAATCACATCAGCCAAAGAACTGGGGGTGTGGGTAGCTGATGCGAGGGTCTGGGGATCCCCCTTCTCTCTCTCCAGGGGATGGGGAGAATTCCACAGACAGCAGTGTGGCGACGTGGTGACGTCATGCTCATTTGCTTGTTTTCATTTGGGGAGTTCTGTTCACTAGTTTGGCTTTCAGTAGTAATGTTAACCAGAATAGGGGTTTGTTTTGGGGGGCTTACCTTTCTGGGTGCCTGACCCGGTCGATGGCAGACATAAAATGTTTCCAACCACATGTAAGTTTCTATAGGCCATTGCTCCTCGTTCCTCTCTGAGGGGGCCAGGTTTTGGTTTGTGGTCCCTAGAATGCCATGCACACTGACTGATGCCAAAGTCTAATATATCTATATTAGCCTGGATAGCTCAGGGAAGCCACATGATATTAGCATGGTTAGTTCAGGGGAGCCACTGGGGTTCTTCCCAGAAAGCTCAGTAAAACATCATGCAAATCATCACTTCTGAAGAAATGGGAGTTCTTGCAGGAGTAAAATAATTTATCATCTCAAAACTTAAGAAACTTACCTTCATACTAGTTGACTGGCTCTTTCCTTCTCTTGCTAAGCCAAAATCACCTAATTTGGGTTCATAGTTTTGGTCCAGTAATATGTTGGCACTATAAAAATAAAATAAATATATGTAAATAAACATGCATTTACAAAGAACAGAGGAAGGAGCATTTTCTTTATGGTAATAAGATTGAGGGAAGAAAACAAGGTCAATTTCCTACTTTTCTGAAATTTGGGAAAGGTATACAAGCCAAATCACAAAGAAAATTAAAGTACTGAAAGTAACAAAACATGCATTTCTGGGCAGCACCTCAGTAGCTCTCCTAGCCTAGTATACTCTAACACCTTAGAGTCATGACTGACATACCAGGCATCTGTGACAATCTCTGTCCACTTGGAGAGCAACTTACAGTTCACAAACTCTTATTTTTTTCCCCAATTACGTAATGATCAATGATTGACTCACTATTAATGGTGAACTGTCTTTAAATGAATGTCATCAAACATTCAAAGTCTCATTAGAGAATGTTTAGTGATTTGGTAACTACCAAACAACACTGAAAACAATTATAACACCTTCCTTTGCAACTTCTCAACTGCCACCAGGTGGCAAGCCAGGCTTCTCAGGACTCCAGCAAGCAGACCTCTCGGGGCCCCAGCAAGCAGGCCTCTTGGGGCTCCAGCAAGCAGGCCTCTCGGGACTCCAGCAAGCAGGCCTCTCGGGGCTCCAGCAAGCAGGCCTCTCGGGGCTCCAACAAGCAGACCTCTCGGGGCTCCAGCAAGCAGACCTCTCGGGGCTCCAGCAAGCAGGCTTCTCGGGACTCCAGCAAGCAGGCCTCTCGGGGCTCCAACAAGCAGGCCTCTCAGGGCTCAGGCAAGCAGGCCTCTCGGGGCTCCAGCAAGCAGGCCTCTCAGGGCTCCAACAAGCAGACCTCTCGGGGCTCCAGCAAGCAGACCTCTCGGGGCTCCAGCAAGCAGGCCTCTCGGGGCTCCAACAAGCAGACCTCTCGGGGCTCCAGCAAGCAGACCTCTCGGGGCTCCAGCAAGCAGACCTCTCGGGGCTCCAGTAAGCAGACCTCTCGGGGCTCCAGCAAGCAGGCCTCTCGGGGCTCCAACAAGCAGACCTCTCGGGGCTCCAGCAAGCAGACCTCTCGGGGCTCCAGCAAGCAGGCCTCTCGGGGCTCCAGCAAGCAGGCCTCTCGGGGCTCCAACAAGCAGGCCTCTCAGGGCTCAGGCAAGCAGGCCTCTCGGGGCTCCAGCAAGCAGGCCTCTCGGGGCTCCAACAAGCAGACCTCTCGGGGCTCCAGCAAGCAGACCTCTCGGGGCTCCAGCAAGCAGGCCTCTCGGGGCTCCAGCAAGCAGGCCTCTCGGGGCTCCAACAAGCAGGCCTCTCAGGGCTCCAGCAAGCAGGCCTCTCAGGGCTCCAGCAAGCAGACCTCTCGGGGCCCCAGCAAGCAGGCCTCTTGGGGCTCCAGCAAGCAGGCCTCTCGGGGCTCAGGCAAGCAGGCCTCTCGGGGCTCAGGCAAGCAGGCCTCTCGGGGCTCAGGCAAGCAGGCCTCTCGGGGCTCAGGCAAGCAGGCCTTTGGGGCTCAGGCAAGCAGGCCTTTGGGGCTCAGGCAAGCAGGCCTCTCGGGGCTCAGGCAAGCAGGCCTCTTCCTTGTTAAACTCAAGCTCCCGAAGGCACACATGGAAGGGGGGCAAGACAGATTGAAAAGGTAACCCATCCCCTTCTTCTTGGAGAGAAGTCATAAGAACCTGGTGTGTCCAGTATGTCCCTAGAGAGCCAGTACCATAAGCTTAGGAAAGTTACAATAGGCTTGTAAACTAAACTCTCCAGATAAGTATTACGTACCTTTTTACATCCCCATGGATGAGTGGTTTTTCCTTGACAGTATGCAAAAATTGTAGAGCTCTTGCCGTGCCCCAGGCTATCCTGAAGCGCTGCCACCAGGTGAGTGGAGTAGTAGCACCTAATGGTGAACCTTCACCAAAAGCTTCAATTTTCTGAAATTAATGTCCTCATCAAAATTCAAATGCATAACACAGTGAATATAAAAGAGTAAGAAAATGCTAATTTGTATGAAAAAATTGAATTTACTTGAAGGTGTTCATGATAGAGGGATGAGAGATTAATTTTTATCCTCTCCACAACCAGCAACATTTGACAATTTTACCGATTGCAGCCAAGTATGTTAAATAATGCTTTATCTCACCCTGCACTGAAGTCTATCCTCAACAGATCCATTAGGCATAAACTGGTACACTAGACATGGTGACAATTCATGATCTGTTGAGTAACCATAAACCTGTAACAATTACAATTTATATTAATTATATAACAAATATAGATGCTATAGGTATACACACACAAACTCCCTAGAGAGTTAATTTTTTACAAATTTTTAATTTAAATTTTTACAAATTAATTTATATACTCTGCAACTATTCAAATTAATAACACAATACTGTATAGGAGTCAAAAAAGTATTTTACAATAATATATTAAATCATATTGAACTTAAAGATTGCCTGAAATAAGATGTGTAATTAAAAGCCCAATAAAAAAAAATACATTCAATATACAACTGGTAATGTCTGCAACATTATCCAATGTATAATGTTTACAGATATTATAAATATTATTTGTCTAATAACAATTTACCTGGAGAATGTTGTCATGGCGGTAGGACTGTAGCAGCTTCAGTTCCTCGAGACTTTGACTAATGTGCAGCCGAGTGTTATCGAGTGAAGCATTACCATGCTGAAATAAATATTTCCACATGACAATTGGGTATGTTATGTCCAAACTCAGAATTGCTTTTCACATTAGACACAAACATTGATGGCATACAACTGATTTCATTCCATCTACTCACCGTAAATATTCCACTTGTGTGATCATCCCAATGAATATCTAAAGAAGCACGGAAGATATTAGGCAGAATAATATTCTTGTATACTGTATTTAATAAATACTGTACCTAATTATTAACAGCAAATCACAACACACAGTGAAAGATAAAGGCATCGCTGCACTTAAACTATAAGTTACTCATTTAGTCTAGAAAAAACTGCAGCATTAAATACGAACAGCAATGTATATTTGTAGCACCAGTACATATTTAAACTCATTTGCCAAAAATATTTCCAGAAAAAAATATTGCCATAAAACAACAATCCACAACACAATTCTGACTTTTGTTTTGTTTTTAATCTTGGTAAACATTCTCCAACGTCATTTCGATCCGTTCTGGACTATCAAGACACGACTTGATAATGGTCCAGGACGGACTGAAACGTCGTTGTTTCTCCATCTTCTGAGTTGAGGTTTGGTCCTCAATTTCAAAAGGCAGCAGGGCCATACCTGAGTAAACAAAAATTTTGCCAACTCAAAATAAACACCAACCATAGAATTTGGTTTTAAATAACTACAATAGCACTCCAAAACTCCAATTATTTCTGGTAATGTAGCGCCCATCTATGAAAATCATTGAAACATGATTTGGAGGCATATCAAAGAATTACAATATTACATACCCTAATATTTCTGATGCTCTAAGGGCTGATTTTAACAGAAGCTCAATTACAGCTGATATGTGTAATTACTGTAGTATGATTAAGTCTCAACCTTGATGATCTCATCCCCACAGAGGCAAGCTAAAAAATGGGCAACAATTTGCAGAATATTAAGTAGGAAATAATTTTATTTAAGTAAATATTTAAATAAAATAAGACACTGTAGTTTTAAGCGTCATATGATTCCTTGCTTTAAAATCTACCGCAAAGTGTGAAATAATAGTCATCTAACTTGTACACTCTAACTGTACAAGTTAGAGTGTACAGTAATTGGTGCTCCACCAAGAACAGATGTTGTATACATAGAGCAACAGTACAGTGTAGTACAATACTTACAGGTTCAATTCTCTTAACGGCAACTTCTGTATTTTTCCAAGTACCTTTAAACACACAACCAAAGCCTCCTCGGCCTAAGAGATGATCTCGACTCCAAAGTGCTGTAGCTTCCTCTAGTTCTTTATATGGGATTACTGGTACACTGGTACTATGGCTTGAAGTGTCTGAGGCACCTACAGTTAGATATTTTGTTATAAACAGAAAAATATATAAACAAAACAATACAAGTATACAGCATAAAATGCATCTGTAGTTATATAACAAATGAATTGCTGATAATGTAAAGAAAAGAGAACTACAATATTGCCAGTAACAAAAATATATTCACATTTTTTACCAATTCATGCACATTATTTCTAAGTAGTCCCTAAATCACTATGTCTCTAACTGTTGTATCTCTGTACTTGCAATAAAGTTAACAGTGTAATAAGTGCCTAGGTTTTATATTAGATACAGGAATATGCCAGATTTGTGTAATGTCCCCAAGACGCAAAGGAGCATAATAACAATGCAGACGCAGTCATAATAATGTGGCTGAAAAAAAAAAAACATACATAAAATGCTGTGAAAGTGACAACATTTTAGTCTGTCCTGGACTGAAACAATTTGACAGACCAAAACATTGTCACTTTCATTTTATTTTATACGTGTTGGTCGAGTTACTTGTCCCCTGATTATGGGAAAGTTAAAAAAAAATTATGTAGCTTACTTCAGCTGTGGCAGGCAGTGGAAGTTGTCACAAATATATTTCTGCTGATTTATTTATTCCACTTATATTATGCAATGCTATGTAATTTGAGAAATTTATATAATAAAACATGTGGAACATCGATTCACACAAATACATTAGTATCAATAATATATGCACAAATTTACATTCTTTGGAGAATAAAATATACGTTTTTCCTATTATCATACTGCATACACTTGATATATAACTGTCTACATGTTTATGCATAGTAAGCACCACTAAGCAGTTCTGGTGACTGTGATACTCTTGTAACCACTGAGTCAAGGTTAGCCAAGCTTCACAAATTTTGCTCCAAAGTTGTTAGTACACATTTTGAATTACTGTACTTTTCTTTTCCCCTCTTCATATTTTTTAAGTTTTTAACATAATTTTTTCAAGTGTAATGATGTGTTGGATTGTCAATAATGTTATTTGTATCACAGAATGTGTAGAACATCGGTATGCACCGATATATTGTTGTAACCAATATGCGTACCAAAATATAACATTAAAATAATAAAACACTGTATTTGCTGTTATCACACTGTATGAATGTGTTATATATAGCTACCTACATATTTTCACACCACTGAAAACCACCAAGCAGTTCTGGCGAGTGTAATAATCTTGTAACCATCGATTCATTAATAGCATATTTCCAATTGCCGATAGAATCTGACAAAGCAAAGTACCGCTCGATGATGAACTACACATACATCACTAACTCTAGCTAAAACATTTCAATATCAGACTCCTGAATGTGAATAATTTTTCACGTGTTAATTTTCTAAAGGAACATGAGGTCCCAGACCATGATGTGTAGAGGCACCAAACTGCGGCTGTCTGCCTCACCTTGAAAACATTCCCACCAGCATCAGGTTTACTGATATCTGAACCTTGTACATAATCTTTATCACTGTCAGGGTCTTCTGTGTTACTATCACCAATAAAAATTTGCAGATACCGTACTTACTTATTTTATCATCATTAACAGATGTTGTAGGCATGAACTGCATGTTAGTACAGAGGCTCTCACACCAAGATGGGATGCCCAAGATTTTTTTTCCAAAGATGGATTCTGTTTATTGGAGACCTGAGAAAGTAGGTGTGAGCCCCGTGTACCTGCGAGTGTGTGTTGAATCTTACGCTAGACCTAAAATCAACCCTGGTTGATATGCGCACCACTAATAAAATGACCCTGAATGACATATGCATTTGAAGAGCTAAATTCTTACTAAAAATGGCCCCCAGGCTTTCCAGATTTCAGACTTGGCAATTTGAACTCAATTCAGCTGATATTTGATAACTCATCATCATGACCTAGACTCAGAACTCTTACATTTTTCAGCACTAAATTGCATCTGTTAATCTTTCCTTCATATAAAAACTCTATCTAGAACATCTTCAAGTGATTTTGTATCATCTGAATTGAGTTCCCACCCAATTTTTATATCATCTGCAAATTTGCAAGTATCTAGAATTAATCTGAAAACCTCAATCTAGAATTACTGAAGATTGAAAAATTACTTTTTCAATCTAGAATATAAATCATTTACATGTATGGTAAACAACAAAGGTCCCAAGATAGAACTCTGGGGCACTCCACTTACAATGGGGTCCCATTCTGGCTAAACTCTATTTATAATAACTCTGTTTCCTTTTATATACAGTAACCACACCCTTATCCAACTTTAAATAGCACCCTCCATACTGTAGGCTTCAATCTTTTTAATCAGTATTTCATAAGGCAAAGGGTCAAAAGCTTTGCTAAAATCAAGGTTACACAACATCGCAATTTTTTCAACTATCAACTGCCTCAAATATGCTGAAATAGAATGAGAGCAAATTTATCAAACATGAGCAGCTCTTTGTAAAACCATGGTGTGAATCATTTATTAATCGATGTTTTGTAAGATGTAGATAAATGGCTTTTACAATTACTAGTGCAAGCAATTTTCACACAATAAATGTTAAGCTAATTGGTACTTTACCATGAGTATAGCTCTCTTCCTGTAACTACATTTGGGTAATATATTATTACCAATATTCCTTATTCCTCCTGGATACCAAACCCTTAACCTGTTTGCCCTATCTGTAGCATAAAAATTTTTTTGTCCAAATATGTTACCTGGGGAACAAATCCACAAGGGCTGTGACGAGGATTCGAACCTGCATCCGGGAGCATCCCAGACACTGCCTTAATCGACTGAGCTACAACAGGGTAAAAAGGCTGGTGTAAATGTGATGCATCACGTCAGTGTGATCTTTGTGTGTGATGTTACCGGGGGATCTCCTAGAACCAAAATTTACCTCCTTACTTTCTTATTTCCTGTCGTTACCTTACCTGAAACAATAGGTTTCTTCACGACAGGTTCCAGCCACTTGGGCTGGACGGTAGAGCTATGGTCTCACTTCATGCAGGTCGGCGTTCAATCCCCGACTGTCCAAGTGATTGGGCACCATTCCTTCCTGCCGTACCATCCCAAATCTTTATCCTAATCCCTTCCAAGTGCTATATACTGTAGTCATAATGGCTTGGTGCTTTCCCTTCCCTTCACGACAGGTTTCTTTGAAGTAAACGTCAGGTTTTTATTTTTGACGATTTTCCATTGTATATGCACATGGAAACAGCAAAGCTTTTGTTAATGGATTCAAAAGGCAGTTTGCTTACGTATATTTTGGTGCTGAACTGTATACTGTACTGTGCACATACAAATTCATGCTCTGCAAACTCGTGTATATCGAGGGTTTAGTGTAACTTAGCCACACCTATAACTTTTCCCACAAATTTCTCCTGTATCTCTTCTATATGTATATTTTCTTGTAACATTCTCACACCTGCAATAATAACCACATTTACACCAGCCTTTTTTTGTTATTCGACTCATCAGACTTTCAATATACTATTGCCAGCTTCTCTTTACCAACTAATATTTCTCCCATAGTGGCCTTTAACATTCTTATGAACTGTATTCTACTGCCAATATTCTTATTACATTTCTATATTCTTCTCTGTATTGGTTTGCTCCTTCCAAGATTAACTTTCTTTCCAACCTAATACAGTATATTTTTCTTTATCTGTTGCACAAACAATTTCATGTAACTCAGCCTAAAAAATATAAATACTAGCATAATTGTACTAAAAAGAAGAATAACTCACTGGAGATTCGACGATGTCGCTCTCCCCCTGGGTATTCCACAGGAGTCCCTTGAAGATTTGTGAGTGGCGGAACCGTCTTGGGATGGTCTGAGACAGCTAGTGATGCTCCTCCAGAGGAATTAGTGTGTTTAATTGCTTCTTTGCCTCTTGATTCTCGTGCTGCCTCTTTTGCTCTCTTTTCCTCCAACTGTGCGATTGAACTAAAATCAATTTAAAATGCAAAAATAAATTACTTTAAACTTTTTCAAATAGTTATCTTGAAACATCAGTATTTGGGCCCCAAGCTTCAACATCTACCTCCTCTCTCAATTAACAGCCACCGGGACATTATTTTCAGATCATCAGAATCATATAAAGAGGAACACCTGGACCACTGATGAGCACCTTTATAATGTACCAATATCTATAAAACAATGTAAATTATGTTTTGTACTAGCCAATATTATTTAATTGGCTCGTACAAATACTACATCATTAAGGTAATTTATGTGTCCTTATTTAATATTGTATTGTGGTGTTTAGTTTACAGTCGCTCATGCATATGCAGGTGTGCACGTGTGTGTGTGTATGCATGTGCATATGTGTGGGTTTTGGAGAATAAGAATGTGTGAGAGGGTGACCATGCAAGTGTGGAGGATAAAGTTGAAGTGTGGGGGATAAGGTGGAAGTGTGTGTGATGAGTGCAGTGCTACAATACGATAAGCTACATAACATTTTGCCCGAAACGCATTGCGTAATAGTGGCTTTAGGCATTGTATGTACTAGCTCTATCTATATATCAATCCATTAATGTAACATCACTTGTATGTATATACCTTACCTGAATAAACATCTGAATCTGAATCTGAATCTGAACATGACAATTTATCAGATGAATCTTGATATTTAATGGGCATTTATGCTGCATTGAAAACCAACCTTTACAATGACAAAGTACAGTATATAAACCCACAAATTAGCTTTATTTTATGTATTTTCTATGTTGCTCACTTATAGAGAATGAATACAAGTAAACACTGTATAAAGAAAAAGGGTAATATTCATACCTTCTCCAAATAATCTTTCTGAGGATCATATTGAGCTTTGGGTCTTGTTTGTAACTCCTCTATATTATTATCCTCACAAGATGGTACTCCACATGTTCTGGAATCAAAGAAATACATTAGTCTGCTGTATAGCATACCATAAACATTATTTATATATTTAATATAACAAAATGTAGTTCATACATTTAACATTTATCTTACTTGAAATATTTTATTTTCTTCAAAAAATTCACACCAATTTATCAGTGGTCTGCATAACATTCCCAATTTCAAAAACTTTCCTTTATTTATACCGAATTTGTTTGTTCATAATTCTGCTTGCCCTTTGAACATTATTACTTTGGCACTTAAATAATAAATCTAGCAATATTTGACATCTTTCCTCCATATTTTGTATGTCCTCTACTACTATTTTATACGACATAATCTCCTCATACAATCAGTTGTCCCCTCGTACTATCAGTTTAGGTTATCCATTTAGAGATTTATCCATATTATTTCCAATCTTTATACACCTTAATACATTGTCACTACCCTTTAACTATATAATTTTTAAAGTTAAGGTCCCCTTTTTTCTTTGTCTTTATCTCCTGAAATATGTAAACAATTTGTCCTCATTAACAGTGAACTACAATGCTTCTTATACACTTCTCTTATCGCTTTTTATGACATGACTCGACACATGGCACTATAAAGACACAGTTTCATTTTAAATGCACAGGGGATTTCCTTCAGTACTGGTAGGGATTATAGCATACTGCTAGCACCATCTACCTGAGAAATGCTTTGTGATTAGCTGGATAGTACTGTAAATAACTAACAAGGAATAACTCGAGGATATTTTTGCTCTTAATTAAAATAGAAACCAAGATCACTATTTGAAGTAATAGATACATACACAGTATATGCATACATTATCTTTTCACCCCTTTCATTGTATGGAGAACAATCAGAACAGAGAAAAAATTTGAATAATATAGTAAAAGAAGGGTTATAGATATTAAATAGTGAAATATTAAACTATTTTTCATTATGTCATTCACAATACAAATCATGGATAAATGAGGACTTCCACACTTCAGTTGTCACTCACAGCAGAAGCCCATTGCTTCATAAGACCAGGTGAACAGTACTTTTCATGACTAGTCGCATATGTTGCTGTATATTCAGATACATTCACTCCCATACAAAATGCTTTATCTAGCCTTCTCTTACTATATTTCTCAAGCTGTTCACACTCCCCCTCATCCACCCCCCCCCCCCCCCCACCCCACACACACAGACAATGTCCAGCTCAAATTCACTTGAATACATTCACCTCACCAGTCTACCATCATCCATTTTTCACTATATTGACTGCACTCCACACCTCCCCATACCATTTTCACTCCTTATTTTATCTATTCTCCTAACACCAGTAGCTTATTTGAGTTCCTGAGCCATTTATTAGCAGCAGATGCAACTTTCATAACCTAATTACTGCACTGCGAACAATTTGCAATTTGCCAAGTGACAGTATATCTGTGTGAGACCCAAATACAATGGACACTTGGTTTACATTACGAGCATATGTAGAGCTAAACAATAAAACTATATAATTATTTTTACTGAAGTGGATTAAATTACATGAAGGACTAAAGTCTGAGCAAGCTCCAAATACAGTAATACACAAGGTCTGACTTTTGGTGTATGTATGTAGATATTTTGTGCACTGAGTATTTCTGTGAGACACAGCAAGTATGAATGGATTCCCGAGATTTATGAGCTAAATAGATTTTCAAGATAGATCTTGAAAATCAGTAGGCATTAATGATCAAGTACAGTACAAAGTTTTTTTTAGAAAGACATACAGAGTGATATATACTGTAGAGTGATTTTCTAAGGGGGGAAAAAAATTCCTTTTATGAACTATTGTTATTAAGTATGGAAAGTTCCTTAAATAATCAAATTTAAATTATGGTACAGTATTCTGACCTCAAGACTGCAACATCAGATGGAAGACATAGCTTCAAAATATGCAATTTGTAAAAAATAATGTAGGGAGTAGTGTGAAATTTGCAAAACTATACTGGTATAATGAACTAAAAAATACACAATGGAATGTATTTCATGAGTTGGTCCACCCTATGCAGAAACAGCAGAATGACAATGAAAAATAAATTATGGAGCCAAGAACCAAGGTATCTGAGGACACAAATACCAAGTACAGTACATAGCTTAAATTTTGTTTTAAGTAAAATAGGTTTATATTAATAAAATGTTTTATATCACTGATCATTCAAGAAACCAATTAAGAGCAATATACAAAGTAATAGTCAATCCTACCCATACATTTCATTGTTGTTGATCTTTCTAAATGAATCCATTTCCCTGGAATTGTTATTTTCTATTCTAGGCTGCATAATTTCAGCCAATGGAGGTCTTGTATTTGAAGTGGTGTGTGTTGTAGCTGTTGGGTACAGGAAGGTTACAGGAATCTTTGGAGATGTTACGTAGGAGTTGGAATGACTTTCACCACGGTTGAAATTGTGAGACTTATAGTTGTGTGCAGGAGCAACGAGAGCACAGGCACCCTCAGTTCTTCCATCACTGTCTTCCTGTGGAAAATACAGAAACACAATTAAAATGAATAATTTTTTTTTTTTTTTACAAAATTGTATGGTCTCTGCCCACACCTATCGACTCCCCTTCTAGATATGTAATATCTAGACGGCCATTGAACTGAAACCATTTTCTTCTTCCAACAGTTTCCAGTCTATTAGATCTTCACTTATGGGCAATTTTCCACAAACATTACACCCCCCCCCCCCCCCTCTACCTCTGCAGAGGTGAATGAGGTTTTCAAACAGCGATCGTCATATATGTATATGTATGTATGTGTGTGTGTGTGTATTCTGTAACCAAACACCATGGAATAAAATTAAATAAATAAATCATATTGTACACAAAAATTTCAATTTAGGGGTGGTAGGAGAAACTGCAAAGTACTTTCCGAGTACTTTGCAGTACTTTGCAGGGGGAGTTGAAGAACTCCCAGAGAGTTCTGGCTTAATGATTTATTGTTTATTGGATTTAGTTCTGAGTTAACGATTAACGGTGCATTGTGTAAGTGTGTCCTGAGCAAAGAGAATACTGTGTAAACATCACTGGCTCGCCACGTTAACCTCCTGCCAGTAAGTGTTAGAAATATTGTTGGAACACAATCCAGCACGAGGTACTGGACCAGTGGGCTTGCTAACACACACACACACACACACACACACACACACACACACACACACACACACACACACACACACATATATACACACATACATATATACATATATATATACATATATAGTAGTCTACATAACAAGTTGGTAAATTTAGATACTATAGTGAACTCTCATGTAGAAATAATTAGTAAATTGAAAGAAAGTAATGACCATTTGAATAGCAAAGTTTTATGTCTTGAGGGTTTAGTGAAAGACTTGCGCAAGGATAAGAATCAATTGGAAACAAATTGCAAAGCCATGGAAGAAGAAAATAAACTCTTAAAAATAGCTTTGGAAGAAGTTAAAGTAAATTTAAACATAAATGACTACAATAGGTTAGGCAAGGAAATTCAACAGGAGAAACAGCTTTTGTCAGCACAGATGGAGGAAGTTACACAGGGAATAGAACAGTGCAAGAAAGATATGCAACTCACTTATGCACAAGTGGCCAAGGAGAAGGAAAAAATAGAAGAAGCAGTAAAGGAAGTCAAACACTGCAGCAACCAAGATAAAACAAACATTAGGCTAGAAGTGAGGAAAGAATTGGCATCTAACCCGAAGTTGGTGCAAAACACAGTTGATCGGAGTAAGTCCCTGATCATTTTTGGCTGCAAAGAAAAGGCGATAACATCTAGGTCAGAAAGAGCTGTAGAAGAAGCTAAAGTAGTAGATAAAATTGTTGGCCTCGTGGAAGGTCTTACAAACAGAGAGAATGTGTGCGACTACAGGAGAATAGGCAGGTACGTAAAAGGGAAAGATCGACCTTTGAGGATCACCCTAAACGGTGCCAAACAGATGGAAGAAGTACTAAGGAATGCTAGAAAATTGCAAAGGGATGAGGATGGGAAAGGGTGGTCATTAAGACGAGATCTTTCAAAAGAAGATAGAGAGAAGCTGAAACTGAACCTCGCCGAGGCAAAACATTTAAATGAGAGCAGGAATGAAGAAGAAATAAATTCTTTTTTCTACAAAGTGATAGGGGTAGGCAAACCAGTAAAGTGGTACATAAAGGCAAACCAACAAAATCAATAGAGAGAGGGGGAGTGAAGAATAAGGAGAGGGGGAACAAGTTCCTGAAGATTGCATACACCAACATAGATGGAGTGAGATCGAAGATACTGGAGTTAAGTGATGTAATACAGCTGCAGACACCAGACATTGTTGCACTCACGGAGACAAAACTTGAAGATGTAATTTTAAATGAGGTCATATTCCCAAGGGGCTACTCAATTTGGAGACGGGACAGAAAAATTAGGAAAGGCGGTGGCGTTGCTGTGCTGGTAAAAGAACACCTAAAGGTGAAGGAAATAATGACTGCCAATCCACAAGAAGTTGACATAATAGCACTAGAGATCTGCTATGAGGATGATAAACTAATGATGATAAATGCATATAGTCCACCGCCAAGCAGCACATGGTCAAAGGAGGAGCCAGATAGTAAACGTGAAGGTCTTATAACAATAATGAGAGAGATTATAGCGAGAGCGGATAACGATAGATCACGACTGTTGATAGTCGGTGACTTCAACTTGAAATCCATAGACTGGGAAGCATATGAAGCTAAAACAGAAGATTTTTGGACCTGTAAATTTGTAGACCTCATCCTGGAAACATTCTTGTATCAACATGTTAAACAAGCTACGAGGATGAGGGAAGGGGACGTTCCCTCCATGCTAGATTTGATATTTACCAGGAAGGAGGAAGAGATATTTGACATTCAGTACCTTCCTCCCTTGGGTAAAAGTGACCATGTCTTTTTGGGAATAAAGTATGCAATGCGTTATAAGCTGGAAGAAAATAAGGAGGTTGAAGCAGTTGAAAAACCAGACTTCAGGAGAGGACATTATGGTGACCTTAGAAATTTTTTTAGTGAGTATAATTGGACAGACTTGATGCTAGGCAAGGAAGTGAATGAGATGTATGGCAAGTTTTGTGAAATATATGATAAAGGCACAAAAAAATTTATACCAAAACAGAGATGCAGAACTAGGAAACAGGATTGGTTCAATAGAAATTGCGAGAGGGCTAGAGACCGAAAGACACAAAAATGGAATCAATACAGGAAGAGGCCGAACCCCCAAACATACCAGCGATACAAAGATGCGAGAAACAACTACACGGCAGTGAGGAGAGAGGCAGAAAGAAATTTGAAAAAGGGATTGCGGACAAATGTAAAACAGAACCAGGTCTATTCTATAAATTCATAAACAACAAATTGCAGGTAAAGGATAATATTCAGAGGTTGAAAATGGGAAATAGATTCACGGAAGATGAAAAGGAAATGTGTGAAACACTAAACGAAAAGTTCCAAAGTGTGTTTGTACAAAATGAAATCTTTAGGGAACCAGATACAATAAGAATTCCAGAGAACAACATAGAACACATAGAGGTGTCTAGAGACGAAGTGGAAAAAATGCTCAAGGAGCTCGGTAAGAACAAAGCAGCTGGCCCAGATGGCGTTTCACCATGGGTTCTGAGAGAATGTGCATCTGAGCTCAGCATTCCACTTCACCTGATCTTTCTATCAGTCATGAAAAATTTTCTGACTGATAGAAAAATGAGGGCAGTAATCAGAGGCAATGTATCGGAATGGAGAAATGTCACAAGTGGAGTACCACAGGGTTCAGTTCTTGCACCAGTGATGTTTATTGTGTACATAAATGATCTACCAGTTGGTATACAGAATTATATGAACATGTTTGCTGATGATGCTAAGATAATAGGAAGGATAAGAAATTTAGATGATTGTCATGCCCTTCAAGAAGACCTGGACAAAATAAGTATATGGAGCACCACTTGGCAAATGGAATTTAATGTTAATAAATGTCATGTTATGGAATGTGGAATAGGAGAACATAGACCCCACACAACCTATATATTATGTGAGAAATCTTTAAAGAATTCTGATAAAGAAAGAGATCTAGGAGTGGTTCTAGATAGAAAACTATCACCTGAGGACCACATAAAGAATATTGTGCAAGGAGCCTATGCAATGCTTTCTAACTTCAGAATTGCATTTAAATACATGGATGGCGATATACTAAAGAAATTGTTCATGACTTTTGTTAGGCCAAAGCTAGAATATGCAGCTGTTGTGTGGTGCCCATATCTTAAGAAGCACATCAACAAACTGGAAAAGGTGCAAAGACATGCTACTAAGTGGCTCCCAGAACTGAAGGGCAAGAGCTACGAGGAGAGGTTAGAAGCATTAAATATGCCAAAACTAGAAGACAGAAGAAAAAGAGGTGATATGATCACTACGTACAAAATAGTAACAGGAATTGATAAAATCGACAGGGAAGACTTCCTGAGACCTGGAACTTCAAGAACAAGAGGTCATAGATTTAAACTAGCTAAACACAGATGCCGAAGAAATATAAGAAAATTCACCTTCGCAAATAGAGTGGTAGATGGTTGGAACAAGTTAAGTGAGAAGGTGGTGGAGGCCAAGACCGTCAGTAGTTTCAAAGCGTTATATGACAAAGAGTGCTGGGAAGACGGGACACCACGAGCGTAGCTCTCATCCTGTAACTACACTTAGGTAATTACACACACACATATATATATACACACACTTATTTATTACACACAGAAATCACAATAGCGTGATGCATCAAATGAACAAATCCACAAGGGCCGTGACGAGGATTCGAACCTGCGTCCGGGAGCATCCCAGACGCTGCCTTAATCGGCTGAGCTATCTTTTACATGTCGTAGCTCAGTCGATTAAGGCAGGGTCTGGGATGCTCCCGGACGCAGGTTCAAATCCTCGTCATGGCCCTTGTGAATTTGTTCATATTATATATATATATATATTATAGGTATATATATATATATATATATATAATTCATATATTATATATATATATATATATATATATATATATATATATATATATTTATTTATTTCCACATCTCTCACTCTCTTTCCATATCTCTAAAGTAGCTTACCCTCGGAGATTGAGGCTGTAGTCTTGATATAGGAGGATTTGATGTTTGTTGCTCTGAATGACTCTGAATGGATCTGGCTGCTGCTTCCAGTATAAAGTCAGCTCGAGAGGGTAGGGATGCAGCACCTAGTGTAGAGCTGTTTTCGGTGAAACCTGGTGAAGTCTGTATTGCAGGGCTTTGTGCATTTTCAGAAGAAAGTCTGAGAGTTCTTTTTGGTTCTTGAGTCTCTCTCCTTACTATACCCCCAACTAGTTGTGGTTTGTTAATAATTTCTGTGGTCCGTCGCTCTGCATTAGTGAACAGTGTATGGTACTTCTCTGGTACTAGAAAATGAAGAGAATACTGTATAGTATATAGTACTTTATGTTACATGTATGTAAAAAGAAGCCAGAATGTGTAATATATGAACACTGAAGTAATTGGGAAAAACAAATAATTATACAGTACTGATAAAATTCATAAAAAATATTGAAATTGAACTGGAACAGTTATAAATTAATTACTTTTCAAATACCTGTACCTGTAAATATATAGAATAAGAATAAAATTCAACTGGTGTGTGATACCAGAGAAAGTAATATCACATATGTAAATAAACATAAATTTCCTTCTTCTGACTTTTTCTTCTTTACATATTTGCATCAAAGCACCATCTGTTGGTTTTCACTGATTTATTCTTTATAAAACTTCTTGAATGATTTAATCTTGATGTCTTTTTCTAGAGTAGAGTGCCATTTCAGTGCTTAGGTTTGTATCTGAGCCCTTTTTCATTTACCATTTCATTTACCTGAAACTTTGTATAAAGACAATGATGATTTATACTAAATGCTTGTTCAGAAAAGTCAGTCAATTCTCTGCTGCATTTTATACCACTGATCATGATTTGTCAATAGATTTTTTTGTGTGGATTTTAACAAAAATATACAGTATCACATTAGTGCAATTCCTTTGTGTATCTGAAGCTAGTATATGGTTGACTAACTACTTTACCTATACCAGAGTGCATGGGTATTGTATGTAAAACTTGGTCTGGCTTCAGTATAGAAGCCTCCAGGCTTCCTGTGGATTCAGTAGAATCCCAGGATGTATAACTTATACCATGTCGTGGCACAGGGGTAAGGTGCGTGGCTGGGAGTACCTTCATCACTAGTTCAAGTCACCTCACTGTTCCAATTTACTTTTTCAGCCTATTCCTACATAGCACCTACATTATTCAACAAGTTGCTAATGTATTGTATATTAGCATTCATTTGTCTGCTTAGATTTTTTCTCTGGAACTTATGATCCTAATGATCATGCAGTTATTTAATACAAAATGTGATTATTTTATAAGTGTTCACTTACTGCATGATGTTCAAGCACGTGAATATTTTTGAAATGTATTATGTGCAGTCAAGGAAAAAATGTATAAACCATATTCCATATACAAAGAATTAACATAAAACTTACCACAAGACTTCAGAGCTCTCATTGCCTGAAAATGATCCATTTTCCATAGTAACCAAAAGAGTTCAGTTACTGTGTGGTTTTGTTGACCCCATACTTGGAGCAGTCGATTAGTTGGCGATTCTCCGCAACGCTCTGCACGCCGGAATTCTTCAAGCTCACACCATTTCAGTCCCATATACTTACCACCTAAAATTTTATGTAAATTCTTTAATACTAAAGTGAAATAACAAAACATTAAAATTAAAATACTACTTTTTATTTGTTTCCATGTAGGACATCTTGGGAACTATGATATAAGAATCTTTGCCCATTTCAATTTCATGACCAGTTTTTTATTCGATATATATAATATACTGTAATATTATTACAAACATTTATGTCATAAATGTAACTTTTCACAAACTAAAATAAAAAATGTAATGCCAACAGCTGCCTATCATTTTAAATTGTCTTTAGAACCATTGGTTTTTAATTTATTAGGCTGGGTTGGATTAAGTTTTATTAGTTTGAATTTGGATTAGGTTTGATTAAACTGGGTTAAATTTGTTAGGAAACACTTAGAATTTTCTCTGGATTGATTTAGGAAATATCTGACTTATAAACCTTTACCTAAAAAAATTGAGATGTTGGATACAGATTTATGGGGCAATTTACTAAGTGCAGGATTTTTCATTCTACAGTACTTAATACTGTATTCAAATAACAAAGCACCCAATAAGCCTGCATGCAAATTAATGTCAGAATTCAAATAAATAATTTATTACTCACAATGAACCTTTCTGGCTGTCCACCCACAGTTAGTAATGCACTCCATAAACCACTGCCACCAAAACAGATTTAAATAATTAGAATATTTGTAAAGAAAACTACACTTTTAGTTTACTTAAGATTGGGCTAAATTCCAGTTGTTCATTGGAAAGTCTACTTTTGATACATAATAAGTTCAGTTTTATGTATCCATGTATGTAACACTGCACTACAGCACCTACACATTACATAAGATAGACAGTGATTGGTCAATTTGTAGTAAGGATCATGCTGTTGTCATTAATATTTTTCCTATTAAAGTTTTTCTTCATTAGATGCTGCTTATTAGTTAAGTTAGCTTTAGTTTAGAAACAATTAAAAACAAAAATTGAGAAGATACCCTGTAGCTCCTTCAAACATAAGGTAAGATAATAATGAGGAGAAAGCACTAAGCAAAAATATAAAACTCATTCGCTGCCCCATTCTCTTGGCACTGAACCAAGTAAATCACACTACATACCCAGCTTCTCCCAGTCATAATTTGAATCGAGAATATTACACAAGAGCTTCCTCTCTGTATATGGCAGGTCGTAGACATATTTCACTTCGTGGGACGTGTCCTGGGAGCGAGACATATTGACAAATGAGACAGGGATGACACCTGTTGCTGCCTCTCCCCACCCACAGCTCCAATGTTTACATGCTACAGTATTGCCACTACCCGCCCACCACCACACCCTTCACCATATAGCTCCAGATAGATCACCATACAGGAAATGTATATGTTTTATCTCTCAGAATGTTCGGTAATACGTTTATTGCTTGTGATGTGTGTCTATGTATGTATTAACACGATGTACTGAACGGGGTGAGAATAGCTTGAGCTACCTCATCCCTTTGTGTGTATTTTACTTCAATAAACTTATTTCAATATCACCATACTAGAGTGGTCAAGTCGTATAAAACTGACGTTTTCACACACCTCGTTTTCTAATTGTCTAACTAACTATGCCCAACTATGTTGGGTAAACATCTAAAGATTTGAAATGAAAAATTTCGCAACATAAATACTCTGTAAGACATGGATGGCCAATTGTCTAATGCTTTGTTTGTTCATTTGTCAGAAAATTCTCACCAAATTGATTGGGAGATGGCTTCTTCAATAACGTGAATTCAGAGACAATTCTATAACCAATGTATCAACGGTGTGTCAATATTTCATTCAAAATGAACTGCTACCAGAAATTTTAGCCAAATATCCCCAGTTTGCTAACTGTAGGTAGTAACTAAGAGGGATTGTAACCTATCCACCGCTGCCCACTGGTTGGGGGGCGGTGTGCAGGACAAACATATCAATTGTGATACTAGCTCTCCACATATGTCAGTTGCTTAATTTAGAAACTGTACCATGCCCGAAACGCTTTGCGTAATAGTGGCTTTAGGCATTGTAAGTACTAGCTATACCTATAAGTCAAACAATCCTTGTAAATATTTATTGACTAGATGTACCTTACCTAAATAAAATTGTATTGTGGTATTGTATTGTATTGTACTTGTGGTCGATCTCGAACCCATTGTTGATGTGACGACTTATACTGAATTTTGTAACTAGCTCATCAAGATTGTAACTTGCGTAACTAAATGAATTGTGGGGTTCAGTCCCTGAGCCAATTATGTGCCTCTGTAACCCTTTCCACTACCGCCCACAAGATGGGTATGGGGTGCATAATAAATTAACTAAACTAAAACTCAATAACGAATTGTAAAAGCACTTTCAATAGGAACATAATGGAATCTGCTTTAATACAGATTACAAAATCATGTAATTTGAACATTAGCAGTGGTTTATATAATTTAGATCCATTTTTGATAGATCAGTTAAAGGGCGATTTGAGTAGGATTATTGATCCTACTCAAATCCAGTTGAGTATAAGAACAAATCCAAATGCATAAAAACTACTGCAGTTCTTATGGATCTCTTATTTTATATCCACCTAATTTTCGTTCATTGTACCTCACTTCACCCCTTTCTCCTGCCTATATATGTCCAAAACTTGACTTGTAAATCATTCCTTCTGAAGATGTATTAATATACAAAAGTACTTAAGGAAATTTTTGTTTCAATTCTTCCCCGTGGTCTGATACTGTCTATATATATATATATATATATTATATATATATATTTTGTGTAGATCTATTGCCAAAGTAGATAATTTCTCGACCTCTTGCTGGGAAGGCTTGGGGTTTAAATCCCTTTTCAAAATCTATTTACTGTATAAATGATTTGTGCATAACTATCTGACAGTAATCCTACACTTTAGTGGATGGGCGGGGCCCATCATCTGAGTAGGGGCCCCTACTGCACTTCTTTACCCAGGGCCTATAATAGTGTTAATACGGCTCTGCATCCAACTGTTTGATGACTCGAATGGTTGCCATAGGCACTGACAGCATTCCGCTTGTATCTATCACGGCACTTACTTTCAGCATTAAGTTACATTTCCATAATGGGTCCATTAGTGTAGAATGCAGCTTGAAAGCCACTATTCCTTTCCAAGATTCTTACATCCAGGAGCGGTAGCTTACGTTCACTCTCAATCTCGTAAGTAAATCTTAGCAATGAACTTCGCTCGAATGCATTCTTAGGCTGTAGCAAGTGCCTGTTATTAGGTACCTGGAGGAATATGTCTACATACCTACAGCAGATGCTTGGCTTTAGGCCCATGTCGACAAAGACTTTCTGTTCGATGGTACCAATGTAAAAATTAGCAAATAGGACTTCAAGGGGGCAAACCATACCGACGGCATCTAGTTGTTCATACGTGCACTCATCAGTGCTCAGGAAGGGGTGTACATGCTTCGTACTACTCTTTAGTAATGCTTCGTACTACTCTTTAGTAATACTTCGAGTAGTTTGGTAAGTATGCCTTCTGGGGTGTCAAGGAGAATACAAACTGGATCCGGATAAACTCTGTCCATCATCATTCCACACTTTGTAGTCCTTCATACAGAACAGGGTAGCAGCACATTGATGTGTATACCTAAGCTTATTAATACAAAAATACATTCCAGTAGTGTCATCCACGGACACATTGGTCAACAGCGACTCGGCCTCAAGAGATGGTCTAGTCACTCCTGATGCCTGCGGCCCCTTGCAGTAAGTCGTCAAATTTCTTTGGAGACAAAGCTGAAGGCGCGCGGCACATACAGAGTTAGCGGAGAGTTGAGTTGCTTAGCCAGTCTGTAGGTGGGCGTAGGAATCTAGTTAATGATCGGTTAAGTTTGTGGGTCTTGACAGTCCTATATGTATATCCAGGTTTGTACTCTTCAATAGATTTCGTCGGGTGAAGTCCTGACATTTTGGCAGTAACGGTTGCAACCAGTCTGTTTACCTTTGTTTTCAGCTCGACAATAGTATCCTTAGTGATTCTGGGGAATTTAGCTCGATCAGAGAAGACATTTATTCTTTTGAGAATGACGTATGTTGGCGATTTATCACCTCATCTGACAACTGTTTCCTTATTCTAAGGAAGCTCCTTAGCTGCCGCTTTGACCTCAGGAGACAGTATAGTGCTTCTGTAGTTACCTCTAGTCCTTCCTCCCTCCACCTAAAGCTCTGCTAGCAAAGGTAGTGATGGTGGTGGTGGAATATGTTGTCCAGCGGGATCTCCGACTCCACTTTCCGGATCATCTCATTTGGTCTGGACGTAACATGCTGGAATCGTTAATTTCACCGTTACTCTCATATTATGTGACAGGAAACGTGTTCAACCATTTCTGTCCCGTCTGGGAGTCGAACCCGGGATGACCGATTACAAGTTGAGCACGAAACCACCTGTATTACGATAACCAGAATGGCTTTTCATGGTCGATATAATTTTTATATATATTTTTTTTATAATATACAAGAGTTCTTACATTCTTGTACAGCCACTTGTATGCGTAGCGTTTCGGGCAAGTCCTTAATTCTATGTTCCCTGGAATACGAGCCCCGCAAAGAATCGTTTAACAACCAAGTTTATGAAGTCAGCCGCCTCCATCATGGTTATCTTGAGGTTATCTTGAGATAATTTCGGGGCGTAGCGTCCCCGCGGCCCGGTCCTCGAAAAGGCCTCCTTTCTGTTACACACCCCCAGGAAGCAGCCCGTAGCAGCTGTCTAACTCCCAGGTTCAAACTTACTGCTAGATAACAGGGGGCATCAGGGTGAAAGAATTTTTTTGCCCATCTGTCTCCGCCACCACCGGGGATCGAACCCGGAACCTTAGGATTACGAATCCGAAGCGCCCTGCATCACCCATAGCAGCGGAGACTTGCAATGTTGCGTAACCACAGCAACGTTGTTGTTATAGATTCATCTACTCGGAACAGGTTCCAAGTAGCACGGGCTATGGTGAGCCCGTAGTGGACTTACCTGGCACAGCAGTGGTGCCGTAGACAGCAACGATTGCAATAGCAGTGATAACAGCAGCAATAACAGCAGAAAAAAGTAGAAATATAGCCGGAGCAGTCTGAGCTGAGGCAACACCACCAACAATTCATCAATGGCAATAACAGAACCATTGACCACTAACTCAATGTAACCTACCTCACCCCTAATTGTCAACCCATGTCTACGATTTTAAACAATGCTGTTTGTTCACCAAATTGTATTTTTATTTTTTTTCTGCCATGTTTCCCCCCATTTTTTTCATTTTTTTCTGATTTTTTCTCAACACAATTTATACTTTAATCTAAATATTAAGTTTTAGTCTTAGTGTTTTTCCTGCCAGAAACGCTTTGCGTAATAGTGACTTTAGGCATGTGCAGTCATCGGGAGGACAAACCCTTCATGCAAACTGCACCTACTATCAACAAGAAGAAGACTTTAGGCATTGTATGTACTAGCTCTATCTATAAATCCATCAAATTTTGTATTTCACCTTGTGTGTATGTACTTTACCTGAACCGGGAATAAACGTTTCAAAGTTGCGGAAGAAAAAATATTGTTTAATTGTAGGGCAATTTACGCAAAAAGAATATATATATATTTACCGGAATTTACATGAAGGCCAACATCCCTCTATAGTGGCCTCGACGAGGACAGGAAGCCGACGACTTGTCAAAGGTCTCCCCCCATTTTTTCAGAGGATATTTTTTTCCCAACTGGATTTTAAACTGAAGTAATGATATGGCATTTATGGCTTGGGCGTGAAAAAGCATCTCCTGTTTTTTACCTGAATTTACCTGGTAAATTATCTGCAATTTTTCTACATTGTGATTTGTTGAGCTTGAAGCTGTTGCTTCCTTGTACGTATTATAT